CCAGAAATGTATAGCTATCCTGTATTGTGTGATCTCTGCCTGTGTTATCATAAGCCCCAATGAGACCTCCCATAGCTGGAATGTCACTTTACACCCCGGTCACATCGGGTGCGACTTGGCATGCGATTTGCATGCCAAGCAACTTGCAAATCACATGCCAAATCTCACCCTATTGTCCGCTATTAGAGCGGTCATATCGGTGCAGTTCCAACTTGGTTGGAGCTGCACTGATTTCTAAAGTAGCGCATGCACTACATTTGTTGCGACTTGCATAGACATCTGTGTCAGATGTCTTGCAAATCAAAACTGAAATCAGCATGTCCCCCGATTTTGAAATCGTGTTACTTCACTGTAAGTTGCACGATTTCAAAATCGGCTTTGATGTGATTAGGGGCTTAATGGGATGCCCTATGCATGTTTGTCACCCAAAGTAGTGTTGCCAACCTCCCGCAGCATTTACTGACAAAATATTGAAAATTTACTGACGTAGCACATTTTTACTGACAACCTGAAAAATGACAGCACTTCTATTACAAACTAAGACAATCGATATTTAAACAGTATAAACACAATTTAGAAACATTAACTATACCCATAACAAGTAATTTGACAGGTCTACACTTAAAAAGTCAATACCGAATGGCAAATTATCAGCCCCTAATATTTAAAGACAGTTATTAAAATCATTTACAAACTGTCTGTAAATTTACTGACGATTGGCAACCCTGACCCAAAGGAAGCTCCTGTTCCTTTTTGGGTGACAAGTTTGGCGTGATTTTTAACAGCTTGTTTTGCCATGATTACCATGTTAATATGTTGTGCAACAATCCTGGAAGAATTGCACTGCATTTGAGATGCAAGTAAGAATAATGGCACCCAAAAACGCATTGCGCATTCTGCTGCTATTTGGAATCATGGGCAGAATTGCAGTTATTTCATATCCCCTTATTTGAACAGGGCCGTAAGGAGTCTACTGAGCCCTCTCTGTTCTTGGACTACAAAAAGATTTTCCTCCTATTTTATGGAGATGGAGAGGAGGGGCAGGAGGAATTCTGCAGTTTGTTAAAAAGCAACTTAGTAGGGCTGAAACCATTTCTTGCTGTTTCACTCCAGAAAAGGCAGGAAATTAGCAGAGTGCATTTCAGGCAGATCAATGGGAAGTTTTCTGTAAATAAAGGAACATATAATGTAAATGTGGATGTATTGCGGAGATGCGGTGCATATATTTTCATTCAAGGTGAAACTGTCTTTTAAAGAATAAGTGCACTTATCCTTTTTACCTCTAGGTAGGTATGGGGGGTGCGTCCCGCACCGGGTGACACCGGACCCGCTCCACAAAAAGGTAAGTTTTAAAGCAAGTCGACGATCCCCGCAGGATGGATCGGATCTGCGGATAGAGCATAATGGATCGGAGTCTGATCCATTATGCTCCCCAATCCGCAGATCCGATCCATCTTGCTGGGATCTTCAGCTTGCTTTAAAACTTACCTTTTTGTGGAAAGATCCGTTAACCCCGTATAGGTTGCAAGCCGACGATCCCCGCAGGATGGATTGGATCTGTGGATTGGGGAGCATAATGGATTGGATTCCGATCCATTATGCTCAATCCGCAGATCCGATCCATCCAGCGGGGATCGTCGGAGGGGTGACACCAAGTGTTACCGCACCGGGTGACACCAACACTAGGGACACCCCTATCCTTACTTACCCGAACTCACCCTCCACAGATGCTTACTTACTTAAAGCGGAGTTCTAGCCATTTTTAAGGGTTATTAAAAGTCAGCAGCTACAAAAAATGTAGCTGCTGACTTTTAATAAACACATATTTATCTGTCCCAGGGTTCAGCAATGTTCTCACCCTCGCCATCCCTTCTCTCCTTCTCTCCTCCACGACACCGGCATCTCAACTGTGGGCACCAGACTGAGACAGATTGCGGCTTCACAGCCTTGTGCCCACTGTGCATGCGCGAGTCACACTTCACCTCCTGATTGGTCCGGCAGTCTTCTGGGACCTGTGAAAGTTCCCAGGAGACTGCGAGAAGAAGGAGGGGGCCCAATTTCTGGCTCACTTACCCGTGCCAAACTGAGCCAGAAGTGGGAGTGGGTACCTTTCAAAAACAGGTATCTGCTCCCCCCCAAAAAGGTGCCAAATATGGCAGTGGAGGGGGGGAGGCAAATAAGAGGAGCTTCCACTTTTGAGTGGAACTCTGCTTTAAATTCAGCGACTGCAGCCTCCGGTGATTGTTTATATCCAGGCTGTCCTGGCTGAGCCTGTGCATTTCAGCCCTATAGACCTCTATGGGGCTGTGTTCCAAGGCTGGTGGTTGGAGACAGCAGAACACAACCCTGTAGAAGTCTATGGGTCTGTAAAGGGCAGGCACAGCCAGGATTTAAACAAACACCAGACTCTGCAGCAGGGGTGGACTGACAACTCATGGGCCCCCCGGGCAATAGGGGATCATGGGGCCCCTCTGTCCTCACCCACACTCAAACCACACCCAAAAAAGCCTATGAAAGGTACCAGGGGCATCTCATGGGGCCCCCTACTGACCCCGGGCCTTCGGGCAGTGTCCGAGTTCCCAAATGGTCAGTCCGCCCCTGCTCTGCAGTCAGTGGTTTAAGGGAAGTATACATCCGTAGAGGAGGAGTTTGGGTTCAATTAGCTCAGGGAAAAGGGGCAAAATTATTAATTCCCTTTGACTATTGCACTTATACCTTAACCATTAGTTGTCTCCAAATGCCTGTGATTGGGTCTGATTTATGTTATTTGTGACGTTTGATCCCCCAAACTCCACTTTGCTCATTTAAGAGCCATTATCACAGTATGAAATCTTTTTTTTTTTTTTCATTTCTTGTGCCTTTAATTTTAATGTCACATTTTTAATCATGCCAAGCTGTGTAAATAAATGACAGTGACAGGGGATGGAGCAAATCATACCACTGGCAGGGGTGCTCATAATAGTCAGCTTTTTCATATGATTTTCACATATTTACCTAAAGAAAAGAAACTTGCTCAAGCGCATCTCTACATCAAATTGTAGTACATAGTTAGTCTGGCTGAAAAAAGACAACATTTCATTAAGTTCAACAAAAAAAAAAACACCTACAGTTGATTAAGAGGAAGACAAGAAAAAACCCAGCAAAGCATGGTCCAATTTGCTCCTGCAGGGGAAAAAAATTCCTTGCTGATCCCCCAAGAGACAATCGGATATTCCCTGGATCAACTTTACCTATAAATGTTAGTATCCAGTTATATTCTGTGTATCTAAGAAAGAATCCACTGAGCTGGCCAGAACCACCTCTTGAGGGAGTCTATTCCACATTTTTACAGCTCTTACTGTGAAGAAACCTTTCCGTATTTGGAGATTAAATCTCTTTTCCTCCAGACGTAAAGAGTGCCCCCTTGTCCTCTTTGATGACCTCAGGGTGAATAGCTCTACACCGAGTTCACTATATGAACCACTGATGTATTTATACATGTTGATTATATCCCCTCTTATGTATTATACATGGTGATCATATCCCCTCTTATGTATTATACATGTTGGTCATATCTCCCTTTAATCTCCTCTTCTCAAGAGAGAATAAATTCAGTTCCTCTAATCTTTCCTCATAGCTGAGCTCCTCCATGCCTCTTATCAGTTTGGTTGCCCTTCTCTGTACTTTCTCCAGTTCCCCAATGTTCTTTCTGTGAATTGGTGCCCAAAACTGAACTGCATATTCCAGATGAGGTCTTACTAATGATTTGTGCCGGGGTAATATGATATCTCTCTCTCTGGAGTCTATACCTCTTTTAATACAAGAGAGGATTTTGCTCACTTTAGAAACCGCAGCTTGGCATTGCTTGCTATTATTAAGCTTGTGATCTACCAGAACTCCCAGATCCTTCTCCACCATTGATTCCCCCAGTTGTACCCCCCTAGTATGTATGATGCATGCATATTCTTAGCCCCCAAGTGCAGAACCTTACATTTATCAACATTAAACCCCACATTGCCCAATTGAACAGTGCATTGAGGTAGTTAGTATATAGAAATTAGGATGATTGAATTAAAATCTTTTTACAGATTAAACGTTCATATATTGGGCTGTTTACCCCTTACATATTTCAGGTACTGGGATGAAAAGGAAGAGGTTATTATGAAACCCACAGCAGGAAGCTCTTTAGAATTGATATAGTGCCATCAATGTATACAATGCTTACTCATATATTGTACATTCATAACAGCCCCTGCCCTCAAGGAGCTTACAATCGAAGGATTCATACATACACATACTAGCACCAATGTAAACAGGAGCCAGTTAACCTACCAGTGTGTCTTTGGAGTATGGGAGGAAACTGGAGTGCCTGGTGAAACCCGTGCAAGCAGAAGGAGAACATGCAACCTCCATGCAGGTTGTATTGTGTGTGGGATTTAAACCAATAAACATAATGCTGCCAGGGAGATGTATTAGTCAACAAGCCACAGTGCTCCTTATTGAGTTTAGATCTAGCTGATTTAGTAATATGATTTTTTTTAATAATATCTTGAGCAGACTAGGATCAAAAAGGTGAAACTGGACTGCTGCAGGTTCCGAATTGTAGTGCCACCACCCTCCTTGCTATGCAACATGACAGCAGTGTTGTGTTAATCAAAACACTGGCTGAACAGAGTTACAAGTATTTTAAATTTAGGAATTTGACATACATTAAATATATTACCAGGGGCATCGCTAGTGTGTTTGTATATGTTGGTGAGTGCCATGGGTCCCAACGCCGTGACCACACACATTATTTTTTTTCTCTTTTAATTTGTGTGCTGCATTAGCAGCTGCTGGCTTCTCTCCCTACCTGCCGGTCTGCACACTGTCTGTCAGACCTGTAGCACAGAGCCGAGGGAATAGGTCCGATACTCCTCCTCATCTTCATCCTACTGGTGTAACAGGTGGAGCTGCCGAGTAAGAAAGGCCAAGTCAGTGGGCCTTGCATACTTTTTATTTATATATTTACCAACATGTTATAGACATTCTTAGATTTTGGTGTAATACTTAACATTTTTTTCCTTACAGAAAGTTGGATTGAACGGTGTCTCAGTGAAAGTGAAAACAAGCGATATTCAAGTCACTCATCCTTGGGCAATGTTTCTAATGAGGAAAGTAAGTATTTTCATAGTTTTTTTTTCACTGAAAGTAACTCAGGCTATAGGCCCTCCAGTGTTCTCAGGCTTGCCACCAAGAACTGCCAATGTGCAACAGGTGGAAGATACAGTATACGGAGAAATAGGTCAGGTGGTTTTATCATGAACTTCCATTTGGAATGGATCATGTGATCTCAAATCAACTGCCACAGTTATCTTAATTAGGTGCAGGGCTTTTTTTTCAGCGGGAACACGGGGGAACGCAGTTCTGGCACCTCCAGCACTTAAAGTATGTTATAGCAAGGGGTGCTAAGGTGTACTGGAGGATCTGTTGTTGCTGGCTGCTGAGGGTCTATTGTCACTGAAGCGGATCTATTTTTGTGTGGTGGTCTATTGCTGCTGGTGAGGTGTATTGTTGCTGGTGGAGGATCTATTGTTGATGGGAGTCAATTGTTGCTGGGAGGGATCTACTGTTGAGGGGCAGTCTGTTGTTGCTGAAGTGTCTATTGATGCTGGCTGCTCGGAGATCTGTTGTAGCTGTTGGGGGTCTACTGTTGTTAGGGTGGTATTTTGTTGCTAGAGGAATCTATTGTTGTGGGGGGGGGGGGTTTAATGCTGCTGGCTGCGGGAATCTATTTTTCTGCTATTCTTGTTATCATTAACAAATTCTATACAAATTATTTAGCACCACAAAATGGTACTTGGCTCTGTATTCTCTAAAAGGGGCGGTACTGGGAGCTGCATAGGAGGTGGAACCAAGTGACAGTGCTTGGAGGTGGGTAAGGTGGTGGAGACAAGAGACTCAGATGGGGGGGGGGGGGTCCTTAACTTATTTTTTTTTAGAAAAAAAAAGCCCTTGTTAGGTTTATAGTCCAGGCAGCACAAAGCAATATGTTTCATTTCTCCTTCCTTTCTCTTATGTTATATGTTTTTGAGTTTTGAATGAGCTTATCAGAATTGATAGAGGTGTTTCCCAGAAAATAGGCGTAAAGTGTAAATAAAACCCAACAATATACTTCTTTTTGCTCCCTTTTGGTCTGTTTAATTTGCTATTGGAAGCATTTAATTATGTCTGTCTGATAGGTGCAAAAAAAGCTGTTGATCTTGTCAGGAATTTGGAGCTGTCCTGTTTCCTCTCCACACCTCCTCTGCTATCTCAAAGATCCTTTTAGTTCTTATATTGGACTGCAAAAGGAATATCCATTATGTTTTAGAGCTCTAATGCCTTGTACACATGATGAGAATATTGGACAAATGATCATCCATTTTTTTTGTTGCATGCTAGTCTTATATCAAAAACAAATTATTTACTAAAGATATGAAAATTCTCGTAAGACAGAATACAACTTCTTACAATGATATAATGTAATACAGTATATTGTATTGTAATGTATTCTTTCAGTTTGGAACATGTGCAGTCTTGGTTAATCGATTTTATTACGGACGAATACTGTACTGATTAAATGAAAATAATTTGTTCTGTTATTGTACGAGAAAAATTTTCATGCTTGTCCCATTGGATAATTTTACATGAGCTCTCATAAGCAGCTCTCGAAAGCTGTGTATTAATGAGCAGATTATCGGATGATCGCTCCGAGAGCAGTATTTTTTGTCTCTCTTTTATGTGTACTAGGCTTAAGAGTGGGAGTGATTGAGTAGTTTGACAAAATACACTGAGCATGGCCGATGACACACAGTCCATAAAATTACGTGTTGCCAGCCCAAAACATAGAAGCATTTTTGGCAGATCAACAGGTAATTTTTGTGCTTGCAGAGTCTGTAAAGGAATAAAGCACAGGAAATGTGCATGTACTGCAGAGATATGCTGCAATTTTTTTTGTTGTTTATTTTATTTTGCCATGACACATAGTTTAATACTATCACATTCTATTCAAAGCTGAAAAAGGTTTTGGCTTATTATAAACTTTAAATTAAGGGAAAATATTTTCTGATTGAGTTTGTTCATACAAGAAAATAAATATAACAATATATCTAACATGGAGAAAAATTGGGATTTCATCATATGTTGTCCAGTACTTACTACAAGGTCCATTTCAGGAACAAACATTTTCAGAAATAAATTTTAAAATCCACAGACTGTGCCTAGTTAGCACAGATAGCATGCATAACATTACTTTACCTGTGAATATGAAATTGCCGCCACCCAATCAGGCTGCTTTTGGGTGATGATGTCACACCATTAAACGCCCCCTGAGCCCACCATCTGTATGAACGGCCAATCAGGCTGGGTAAAAAGCTTGCACTGATCCCTACTCTTCCTTGAGATAAGTATTGCCAACTTCTTCCAGCTTATAGTATCTCCTCCACCCACCTTTCTTGATAGCAACAGCCATGATGCTCTGCTAAGCTGAACTAGCGTGTTTGTGCTCCTGTTGCCTGATCCTGTCACTTGAGGGTGGGTGTGTGTATATGTCCTATTGCCATCATCTTTTTACAATTTATTTGTAGGAGTTTTATGGAAGGAACGATGTGATGAATGTAAGGAAGGAGCTCCAAAGGCAGAAGGGGATAGTAATAAATCTAACAGTTGGCTATTTTCTTGAACTGGGGCTCAGAAATGTGTTCTAAAAATATCTGTGTGAATATATAGTCCACTATACAGAGGATATTGTTGTTTTGAATTGCAGCTTGTAGATTATAAATCAGATTTAGCTAAAGTCTAAGACAAGTACCACTGGAAAACTCCCTATCATCTCACAAAATGGAACTGGTGGTCAATAGAGGATTTGCCAAATTGGACCTTCAAAGCTGTCAGTCATGGATTAAGCTGAATCTTCCATTTCACTGGCAGGAGGCAGAAGGACCTCACTAGAGTTGCAGGTACCAGGAGTGTCCAGTCTTCTCCAGAGGTGCAGATGGTGCTGGTGTTGAACTGCAGACAGCATTAGAATGTTACAACTGGGATTACCTGCATGGTGAGGTCTGGGATAGGTTGGATATTTGATATGGCAGCAATCATAGTTGAGAAGGAAGCGAAGGTTAGGCCGAGCAGCAGGCAGAAGGAAAAGACCTAAAACCAGCCATAGTCAAAGACAATTAGTAGCTACAGATAACTGCGGGTGAACTAAGAACAGAAAGCAATAACGTGAAGCCAATTTACAATGCATCATGGCAAGTCAGGATAGACACACATTCGATCAGGTACTCGCGGTCCTCTGACCCAAACTCTAGCTCCAGCAACTGAGGGACACTGCAGAGATGGATATCCAGCAGACGGTAGAGGAAAAGCATCTAGATGCCGCTTTTGTGGACACCTTATGAAGACTGCAAGTGGTACACAGTTGTAGGTTATTGGTTACACTGTTTACGCATTTTCTAACTATTTTTTCTGTCCATGATATAAGTAATTCTATACAAAAAGTGATATGGCAATAATTGATGTCCCCAATGGATTTGTGTATTGGAAATATCCTAATACTATTAAGCATTGGTAACTTTCATGCAGTTTTTACTGCGGAATTATTCCTTGCATGGAATCATTTAGGTATCTGGACATTTTTGTTTCTACTGTTTGTATGTATGTCCTGTTTGTTTGTTTGCTGTTAAATGTAAAAATCACTTGTTAGCTTCTGTTCATTCAATGCAAGCGATGTCATATAAATAATTTTTATAATTGCACTTTTTTGATATGTTAAATAAACTCTTTTTTTGTACCATCCAGCCGCCACTTCAGTCATTATAGATAACCTGCTTTTTGCCCCCATACTTGGAGGCTTTTGTTTTGTAGTACATTTTGGAAATCTTACCTTTTATAAAAGCATCTCTTGCTTCTAAAAAAAGAAGTAGATCCTAAAATACATAAGCAGTAACGTTCTCCCCTGCTAATTATCTGTTTTCATTTGTGAGGTATGGGATAGCTCCAACAAACTGGGCTTGATCATATTGTATTAGTGTATCATGCATCATCATGCTGTCATTATGTACAGTTTTAGGAATGTATTAGGAATGTATAGCCCATAACAGTACTTGACCAGTACCTGGGGCAGCAGTGTAAGGGAGGCAGCACCAAGTCTCAAAATTTGAAAAATAATCATTTTATTCTTGTTTTTTTTTCTGTCCATCTCTAGACATGTGTGGCTATATTCAGAAAGAAAACCATAGTGGTCAATGTGCAGGGAATGTTGAGAGAAGTAAGATTTGCTATAGTTAAAAAACACAAAGCTGACCCCATGCTTCCCTGAACAGCACATTATAGCTTTAGTCTATTTCTATAATAATTACATGATACAAGGAGTTGAAAGGGTATCATCATTCAAGTGCCTGAGTGAAAATATGGAGTCTCTTTTTAGTGCCAGGCAATTGGTCTCTAGAATAAGCATTTATTTAGAGTGTGAGCCCCTTGCACTGGCTGCTCCCAGGTAGTAGTAGTGCTGTTTTGAACTACAGGCTAGACATGACCATATCCATTGGCAATATTGGAGTGTTCAATCAGTATACAGTATGTCTCACTCACAGGGCAGAAATAATGGGCAATTGTGGAAGTCTGTGACCAAAAGATGTGCACAGCAAAGGTTGCGATGGTAGTAAACCAATAATCAAAGTTTAGAAAACACAATTAAATGCAATAATGTACTGTATGTCCAGTCTAAACATCAAATAATTAGGTGGGTTAATTTGGAGTATCATAGACTGTATAGCCAGGGCAAAAAGCAAATTAAATGTCCAAATTTACTTATAGTACCAACCAGAAGACTTCTCTTAATGACTGTGGTAAGTCTAAATCTGATTTGGTTTACAGTGCTGTTTTGGTTTACAGCACTTTGCACATTCTTGTTATTTGCACCGGCATATGTTTTATAGGTAATTTTAAGAAGTTGTAATAAGAATCTGATTCTTCTGCATTTTTCAGCAGATGAAGAGAAGGAAAATAGGGCATCAAAACCTCATTCCACTCCAGCAACTTTACAATGGTAATTATCTATTTCTTTGTTTCCTGTTGTAAATGTATATAATGGTTAAGTGTAAGCTTACCAAAGCTGATGGTTACATTTTTGGATATATAATTGCTACTCATCCTCACACTGGTCTTTCTCACAGTCTGTGGTAGAAAGTTCATACACATATCATAAATAGTGTCCTTTGATTGTAATTGACCCATTGGGGTACTACTACACAATTACCTAATCTCTCAAGACTAGTAACACCTTACTCTCCTGTACAACCCAGCCTCATAGAAATCCCCCATAGAAATATGCCTAAATAAAAGTAGTACATTTAAAACCCTGCAACAAATAATGATTGACTTTTTTTTATCATTTTAACTTTTTTTAATAAAGCAGTCTTTGAACTTCAGTCAAGTAACTTTGTCTAGGCTGAAATTATATCATCAGTCTACCCAAGAAAGAAGCACTTCTTCAGTTTCCTTGTCACTGTGTCCAGACTCCAATATTCTAATTAGTCATATGATTAGAGGCTACATTGGCTGATTTGTGCCAGATATTTGTGAATACAGCCAAAACCTGTATAGGCACCAGTATTCATATAATTTGTGAATCTATAGGCCAGAATCTTGGTCCAGAAAGTAGATGGTGACCCTGAATGAAGTCTGAGCAAAGATGGCACCATTTTTCCAGAGATATAAGCAGATGAAGGCATTTTTAGTGGGAAAACCATGATTTCTGTGAGATATTATGAATGCTTGCAAGTTTTACACTTATACTCAAAATATTTATAATTCTAAATAATAGGGTATAATGATATGGGAAGGTGTAATTGTAAAAAAACAGGTCACTTAAACCCTTATAAAAAAGCTTTACAAAAAAATCAGGGACTGTCTATGCTACTCCCCCCACCCCCCAAAGCTGCAAAACCACAGGACACTTTAATAACTACTCCCAGTTTATGAGTCAACTCTGCCTGAATTTTCTATCACGATGATGTACATCTCACAAAATACCAACAATTTATTATCTTCCAGGCTCCTTCCCTGTGAACTGTGACATCACTTTTCCTTCACTAAATCATCAATCTAATTACATGCACATTCCAATCACACTCAGTTCTTCACTCTTAGCAACCAGAACATCAGTATATATAAAAACTGTTAAACTTTAGGTCAATTAAAATTCCTCCCTTCAGAGAACAAATGAGGTTATTCCGCAGCACATCACGGGAATATATAAAACACAACACGTAGCTGGAGAGGCCGTACGGTCCCGGTGGGTTATATTTGGCCGCGGAATGGACAATGGAGAGAAAAGATTGTGTGTTAGGTCTGGGATCATTAAACACTGCAGGTATAAAAGCCTTTCCTACACTTTCAGGCTAATGATGGCCACACTTTAAAAAGGAGCAAATGGCTAAGATTGTTAGCTGCCACTAGGCGCAGTTAACAGAGTATGTCTTACAAGCAACACAGATACTTGGGACTAATTGGAAGTTTCCTTATACTCTGTGGTCTGGTTTTCTGATGGCCAGGTAATAAGCAATAAGAACATGGCTGCCTTGAGTTGAGAGCCCCTCTCAGACACTTCCGCCATTTGGGTGGCTCCATTGATCAAAGTAATGAGAACTTTCTGGGTTAGTGAATATCAGCCAGTCCAAACCTTTAACTCCCCCACAGCCATTTTCCAGGAAAGGTATTAATGTCATTGCCTGGTATATAAAGAAGCATAGTTCATAATGTGAATGTTTTAATAAATAAGAGTAAATGCCTTTTTTACACCATACTGGAATCAATCATATGGTTGAAAGTCTGCTGCAACATCTACCGAATGGTCACGGTGTATAATATGAATATGATATGTCCTCAGCACACCAGCAAGCTTGTTTTAATAAATAACACCCAAGATCATTACTTAAGGTGTACCTGTAGATCAAATGAGTGGAGCTGATCTTTCATGGGGCAGGGGAATATGCCAATATTTTTGATCCCTGACATAAACCTAGGGTCGGGAGGATTTGGGTGTGCACATCATCAGCAAGGGAGTGGCTACAGTTGGAGGGGCTGGGTTTAAACTCTTTGTCCAAGTTCAAAAGTTTTAAAAGTTTTGCATAGAGTCTTATACAGTACAGAAGGTGGAAAAAAAGAGAGACACTTCAGGTAAGCACTTATTATAATGAAAGAGCAGTATTGAGAAGAAAGGTAAGTATTATCCCAGATATGCAGCTTTCAGCAGGGCAAGGTTACTAAGTAAAAGAAAAGTTGTACTGTAAAGCAAACCTACATTTACCAATCAAGGCAGCTTACTTTCTCTTAACTCAGCTGTCACTCTTTTTAGCATTTCTTGTTATGAAGGACTCACTCCCCTTCCTCCCACCCCCCAGGGTAAAATAGAGATAGTGTATGTGTAGCTTATGGGGATGACAATAAGGTGAACCTGTTGCTTTAACCTCCATGGTCAAAGCACACATTAAGGTACAGGACACATATAAAATCTCTATAATTCAGCCTATAAGGGTGAAATATGTCAGAGAGGGGTGCTCTACAGATAGGCATGAGTTGCAATGCTTGAATGGCTGAATAGATGTTACTGGGCTGTGTGACGTCATCAGTTTGTGGCATCTTTCCTTTTGCCATTGTAATAAATCTATTGTTTTAACCTCCATGGGCAAGATTCACCTTAAGATACAGAAAGCATATAAAACCCATTAAGAGCTTAAAGTAGAATTCCAGTCTACACCTAACTAATCTTAAAAATGCTCTCTCCCCCCTCCTTGCACCTATGCAGACTAACCTGCGTAACATAAAATGTATATACATAACTATTTTCAGGCCACTCCAGTCACATGATCAGCCATTTTGCAAGGGAGCTGGTGGCTGCAGGGGAGAGGAGAGAGTGCATGAAAATGGCAGGTATGTCTGGGATAAGTTCCTTTCCCCACAGGTTCCTATGGCCCATCTGTTGTCAGAGCTCCCTCCTCTCCCTGCAGCCACCTCTGGCTAACACAGGAGAGCCAGATCACATGACCAGACCGGAGCAGCCTGAAAATAAGTATATATACACTATATTGCCAAAAGTATTCGAACACCTGCCTTTACACGCAGATGAAACTTTAATGGCATTCCAGTCTTAGTCCGTAGGGTTCAATACTGAGTTGGCCCACACTTTGCAGCTATAACAGCTTCATCTCTTCTGGGAAGGCTGTCCACAAGGTTTAGGAGTGTGTCTATGGGAATGTCTGACCATTCTTCCAGAAGCACATTTATGAGGTCAGGTACTGATGTCGGATGAGAAGGCCTGGCTCGCAGTCTCCACTCTAATTCATTCCAAAGATGTTCTATCGGGTTGAGGTCAGGACTCTGTGCAGGCCAGTCAAGTTCCTCCACCCCAAATCCGCGCATCCATATCTTTATGGACTTTGCTTGTTGCACTGGTGTGCAGTCATGCTGGAACAGGAAGGGCCATCCCCAAACTGTTCCCACAAAGTTGGGAGCATGAAATTGTAAAAAATGTCTTGGTATGCTGACGCCTTAAGAGTTCCCTTCACTGGAACTAAGGGGCCAAGCCCAACCCCTGAAAAACAACCCCACCCTATAATCCCCCCCTCTAACAAACTTTACACTTGGCACAATGCAGTCAGGCAAGTACTGTTCTCCTGGCAACCACCAAACCCAGACACATCCATCGGATTGCCAGACAGAGAAGCGTGATTCGTCATTTCAAAGAACACATCTCCACTGCTCTAGCGTCCAGTGGTGGCATGCTTTACACCACGGCATCTGACGCTTTGCATTGAACTTGGTGATGTAAGGCTTGGATGCAGCTGTACGGCCATGGAAACCCATTCCATGAAGCTCTCTAAGCACTGTTGTCTAATCTGAAGACCACATGTAGTTTGGAGGTCTTTAGCTATTGACTAAGCAGATAGTTGGTGACTTCTGCGCACTGTGCGCTTCAGCATGCACTGACCCCGCTCTGTCATTTTATATGGCCTGAGTTGCTGGTGTTCCCAGTTGCTTCCACTTTGTTATAATACCACTAACAGTTGACTGTGGAATATTTAGTTGCAAGGAAATTTCACGGATGGACTTACTGAACAGGTGGAAACCTATCACAGTACCACGCTTGATTTGACTGGGCTCCTGAGAGCGACCCATTCTTTCACAAATGTTTGTAGAAGCAGTCTGCATGCCTAGGTGCTTAATTTGTACACATGTGGCCATGGAGGTGATTGGAACACCTGAATCCAATGATTTGGAGGGGTGTCCCCCAATACTTTTGGTAATATAGTGTACATCTTTCTTACAGAGGTTAGTCAGCATGGGTGTTAAGACGGGGGATGGAGCATTTGTAAGATAGGTTAGGTAGCCTGGAATTCCACTTTAAGCTGACAATGTGGGAGAAGAAGTGCAGGATTTCCTTAAAGGAAATCTAAAAGGAGAGGAAAGTGAGAGCTGACATTGCTGAGTCGTTTCTGAAGGTGAATATTCTAGGGTTGCTTCAACACACACCTGATAAATACATGTTGGGACATCTGGTCTGTGTAAGCCCATTATATACATACCTCCAGGTCAGGGATTTCTCATGTAGAGATGGCAGGACTGGCATCAAAGGGTGGCATTAAAGGATCAGCTTCCACTGGTGGGAAGGGGTTAAACTGTAAACATGAGTAAAAATGTACATATCTAAATTAAATTGTAAAAATGTCCCTGATTGAAAGCTTCTCTAAACGTTTTGTAAGGTTGGAAGAGAACTATGAGATTGCCGAGGGTGTTTGCATCCCCAGAAGTGCCCTTTATATGCACTATTTGGACTTCTGTGAGAAAAATGACACACAACCAGTGAATGCGGCAAGCTTTGGCAAGGTAAGCACAATATCTAAGGCTATAAATGAAATGTAAAAAGAGAATGTTGGAAACGATCTTCCTCTTAGATTGTATTCTGTAACAAGCAGGGTACACTGATTCCTACTGTATTAAATTGTATTGTAATAGTACTGTCTGCCCTTATGTTTTAAAGAGCTGCATAAACTGTTGGCGCTATATATTTTATTTATTTATTACAGGTACTTATATAGTGCTGTCAATTTACGCAGCGCTTTACATATATGCATGCATACTCCAGGTAGGTGGTGCCATGGCTGGGATTCGAACCAATATAATAATATATATATATATATTATATATGTATAATAATAATAACTGATTTTCAATGTAAAATTGTCCATAAGAACTGTGAGGGGAATTTATCAATACTGGAGAAGACAGACTCTGGAGAAGCTGACAACCAGTCAGCTTCTATGTTCAACTTGATCAGTTTGACCCCTTTCAAATAGCATGGACTTTGCTCCATTCATCAGGGGATCCCTTGTCAACAGGAATGGAAGTCAATATTCCTACTCGTTTCCGCCCGGTGGTCCCATGTTAGCTCTGTGGGTGGCTGGGGGTGTAAACGGACTCTGCTGTCTGTTTACATCAGGTTGCCTCCATTCTGGTCTGCAAAAACAGAAAAGCACGTTTTTTTTTAACTGGAAAAGACCCACATTTGGGTGTGATTAAATGGATACAATTCCACTTACACCTGCCTGTCTGTCTGTAGGGCTGCATGGTCTTTCCAATCAGGTGTGCCTGAAAAAGCAACAGCCGTGTGAAAGAGGCCTTAAAGTGGAATTCTAGGTGATACCAAACTGGCCTAAAAAATGCTCCAACCCTCTCCCGCTCCTAACAACTATGCTGACTAACCTGTGTAAGAAAGGTATACACCAATCAAAAATTAACACTCTCCCTGCTGCACACCAGATAAAAAACAAGACCTTCAACAGTGTGAGGAAAATTAAGCAAATGGCAATTAATGAATATCAAACTATAGTTATATTACTTCTTAGTTCTCTGCCTTGTATTAATTTCAATGGCTAAGGTGGCTAGTATCCCTCGGCAGTGGTCTGGCAGAGCTCTGGTATTTAGGAGGTTGCCCTGTGACATGTTGACAGGCTTGAGAAAGGGGAACACTCCCCTAAAACATGTAACCATGTCCATCTGATAGTAGGAGCAAATTGTGCAAGCCCAGTAACACGTTTGAATGTACAGCTGAACCTTCCGAGGAGTTGAATTGTCTGCCTCTCTTCAGCCTGTCAGTCTTCAGTAAGAGCTTCAGACGTCATGCTGAACATCCACTGGACATCACTGGTGACAATGTGAGTGGTTCTTCAACTTCAGCAAGATGGGGCTGCATTCAAGACATTTTTAGTAAATTAAATATGAGATGCGAACATTTTTGATTTTTAGTACTTTGATCATTAAAGGTTTACCTGCACAAGGTGTGCACTTCCCTGATTTTCTCTTGTTTGATTTCTTGCTAAGATGTATATAGTTACTTAATTGTAGGCTGCTTCCGTCTAGTTGTGTGACCTGACTCCCCTTTGTCAGACAGCAACAACTGCAGGATAGAGGAGGGAGCGCTAACAATGGATGGGCCATAGTAACGTCATCACACCCAGGCGTTCCTGCCATTGTTGACTCTCTCTCCTCTTCCCTGTAGCTGCTGCCTGGAAGACACAGACGTGATTATGTGGCCAGACCAAAGCAACCTGAAAATAGGTAGGTATATACATATTTCTTACACAGGTTAGTCAGCATGGGTGTTAAGAGGCTGGAAGGAGCACTTTTAAGATTAGTTAGGTATATCCTGGAATTCCACATAAGCTATGAAAGATAGAACCTGACTGGTTCAGATTTGCATCAGATTCTGTCTGCTCCAGTTTTGATAAATTCCTCTTCATGCTTTTTGGCTTTTTAAAATTGATATAGTTGTTTTGACAAAAAAAATTTGGCACAAATAATATTTTTCATGTGCTATTCTGGAGTATATTTATCATGCCAAGTTATCACAATAGAAAAAGAAATAAAAGATATCTGAAAAACTAATAACTACCTCCTTTTTTCAATCCCCTAAATTTTAAACCCAATTTGTAATCTCAGCTAACCCCTAAACAAAGCTTGCTCATTCACAAGGCAACTTAAGAAAAAGCCTAGGGCCTGATGGATGTCCTGGGGCCCAGCTACAACCTTTATGCTCCTGCAGTAAACCAAGGGGATGGTGCAATTGGTCAAAGCTGGGAATCTGCCTATCTCTTCACAAAACAGGATGAACAGTTGATGCCTGAAGGGGAAGAGCTCAGCCAGTACAGAAAATGGAAATAGAGCAACTTCTCTGTGGCTATTGTATTCCTTATCAATGGTATTTGAAACGATGGGGGAGGGGGGAGATGCTTCTTTGATTTGAAAATTGATTAAGCTGAGTGGAAAATTGGCTGATTACTGACTGCAAACAATTGGATGCAATCACTGTTTGGGTATCCTTACAACTGCGGGAACAGTGACTGTTATTGTTTAAATGTTAGATTGATGGTGCTAGAACTTTAAGTAGAAAATGATTTTGAGCTATTGGTGTACTTGCAAAAATGTACTGACTGTATCCTAATGAGGCTTTTATGTGATGTTTGGGCTGCTCCCATCAAACAAGGAATTTGCACAGAAACCATATTTGAGTTTGAAGATCGAAGCTCCACACGGAAATGTTTGAGTCTAAAATAAGGTTTTATTTTCAATGTATACTAGGTGCTACAGCCAATTGCATTTCAGGGACCTCGGGATCCTCAGGTATCTTGGGGACTCAAACAATAGAATTGCCAGCAAGAGAATTTCCTCCATCTATGCTGTTTATTGTGGTTGAACTGAATTAGAGAAATCTTAACATTTATGGATAGCCTTATCTGAACCCACACCTATCACTAGGTCATATACTGACCAGAGGGTTGAATGAAAAAAAAAATTGTACGTATGTATGGCCAGTCATATAATGACCCTGTCACCATACCCAGCCATGTCAACTCATCCTAAAATCCAGGGAATCATCTGGCCAGCCATATAGTGACCCTGTCACCAGACCCAGCCATGTCAACTCATCCTAAAATCCAGAGAGTCATCTGGCCAGCCATATAATGATGCTGTCACCAGAGCCAGCCATGTCAACTCATCCTAAAATCCAGAGAGTCATCTGGCCAGCCATATAGTGACGCTGTCACCAGACCCAGCCATGTCAAGCTGGGTAGCAGCTATCCCCACTTCAGTCTATCATGAATGCTGCTGCCAGACTCATCCACCTCAGAAACCGTTCTGTATCGGCCACCCCTCTCTGCCACTCCCTCCACTGGCTTCCAATTGCCCAACGGATAAAATTCACAACGCTAACACTGACGTATAAAGCCATTCATAACTTTGCCCCAAACTACATCTCCAATCTTGTCTCCAAATATCACCCAAACCATACTCTACGCTCCTCACAAGACCTCCTACTCTCTAGCTCCCTTGTCTCCTCCTCCCATGCTTGTCTCCAGGACTTCTCCAGGGCTTCCCCCATCCTCTGGAACTCCATACCTCAAATCATCAGACTATCGCTTACTCTGCTCACTTTTAGGCGCGCTCTGAAAACCTATCTCTTCAGGGAAGCCTACCCCGCCCTCAGCTGGAATCCTCTACTCTTCCAACCACTCCACCCCCACAGTTACTACCTCTTGTACCTCTATCCCCCCCCTCCCTCCTAGATTGTAAGCTCCAAGGAGCAGGGCCCTTGAATACCTCTTGTATTAAATTTGTATTGTTACTGTACTGTCTCGTGTACTGTCTCCCACCATAATGTAAAGCGCTGAGCAAACTTTCGGCGCTATATAAATGCTGTATATTAATAATAATAATGTCAACTTATCCTAAAATCCAGGGAGTCATCTCGCCGGCCATATAGTGACCCTGTCACCAGACCCAGCCATGTCAACTTATCCTAAAATCCAGGGAGTCATCTGGCCAGCCATATAGTGACCCTGTCACCAGACCCAGCCATGTCAACTCATCCTAAAATCCAGGGAGTCATCTGGCCAGCCATATAGTGATGCTGTCACCAGACCTAGCCATGTCAACTCATCCTAAAATCCAGGGAGTCATCTGGTCAGCCATATAGTGACCCTGTCACCAGACCTAGCCATGTCAACTCATCCTAAAATCCAGGGAGTCATCTGGTCAGCCATATAGTGATGCTGTCACCAGACCTAGCCATGTCAACTTATCCTAAAATCCAGGGAGTCATCTGATTTATTATCCCTCTCACTTTATCACTCTGCATGAAGGGACCAAACCCAGCCCCCTTCCCTATATAGTTGCCAGGTGTCCTAAATTTTACAACACATCATTCATACCATGTTTGTTGAGCTGTGTTGCTCAATTCAGGCCCAATGCAATGAAAAAAGTTGAACTACGTTTTTCTCAGTTGGGCTGCGTTCACACTAATGCGCTCCATTGATTTGGGTTGGGTGAAATCTGAAAACACTGTACTTCAATGTAATGAGCTGCAACATACTACAACCTGTCACAGTTCACAGCAGTGCACAATAAGGAAAACAAATTAAGAATTTTAGCTTCTGCTATTAAAAAAATGTACATAAAAAAACTCATGTTAGTACACTTCAGCTCAAATGCTTTTAAACACGTCAAAACATGCAAAGCGCAATTCAGTCTAATAGTTCATACTGATGTTTTGTTTGCAGTTTCTAATATTTTGTTAACATTTATAAATGGGCATTGTAAAGTACCATGCCTTTTGTAATACAGGGTAGATACAATTCTCTGGTTTGTATATAAGCGTGACACAGTATCAGTTTTTAAGTCACACCTTTTACACATGTAGTGCTACCCCTGCAGGGGCCACTTGATGGTCCCCAGTGGTTGCCCTGACCTTGCAAGCTTCCCAACACCTCTGGCACATATATCAACAATATGGAGTAATAATGCAAGAGACACTATTCCTTAGTAACACCTCTATAAAATTAAAGGAACACTTTGAAAACACATCAGATTTCAATGGGGAAAAATATCATGCTGGATATCTATACTGATATGGAATGGGTAATGTGTTAGCAACATAACAATGCCCCATCGTTTGATGGAAATGAAAATTGTCAACCTACAGAGGACTGAATTCAAAGACACTCCGAAAATTAAAGTGAAAAAATGATACTGCAGGCTAGTCCATTTTGCTGAAATTTCATTGCAGCAACTCAAAATGGTAGTTTGTATGGCCTCCACGTGCTTGTATGCATGCCTGACAAAGTAGGGGCATGATCCTAATGAGACGACGGATGGTGTCCTGGGGTATTTCCTCCAAGATCTGGACTAGGGCATCACTGAGCTTCTGGACAGTCTGAGGTGCAACCTGGCGGCATTGGATGGACCAAAACATGATATCCAAGAGGTGATCTATTGGAATTAGGTCAGGCTAGCGTGGGGGCCATTCAGTGGTATCAATTCCTTCATCTTCCAGGAACTGCCTGCATACTCTCGCCACATGAGGCTGGGCATTGTCATGCACCAGGAGTAACCCAGGATCCACTGCACCAGTATAGGGTCTGACAATGGGTCCAAGGATTTCATCCTGATACCTAATGACAGTCTAATGCCATTGTCTAACCTGTAGTGGTCTGTGTGTCCCTCCATGGATATGCCTCCCCAGACCATCAGTGACCCACCACCAAAACGGTCATACTGAACGATGTTACAGGCGTTCTCCGTGGCTTCTCCAAACCCTTTCACGTCTGTCACATGTGCTCAGGGTGAACCTGTTCTCATCTGTGAAAAGCTCAGGGCGCTTTGGTCACATGCCTGATGAAGGGGTCCTGCGAGACTCTGAAACATTGCCTTTTGTAACTATGTGATCGTTCATTAAAACTTTTGGACCCATATTGGTGATCCATAATGTTCTCCATGGCTTCTCCAGACCCTTTCATGTCTGTCACATGTGCTCAGGGTGAACCTGCTCTCATCTGTGAAAAGCTCAGGGTGCCAGTGGCAGACCTGCCAATTCTGATGTTCAATGGCAAATGCCAGTCGAGCTCTATGGTGCTGGGCAGTGAGCACAGGGCCCTCTATGGAGGACATCGGGCCCTCAGGTCACCTTCATAAAGTCTGTTTCTGATTGTGTGGTCAGAGACATTCACACCCGTGGCCTGCTGGAAGTCATTTTGTAGGGCTCTGGCAATGCTCACTCCTGTTACTGATGGGGTAAGGCCTTCTATGGCCTGTCCAACTCTCCTAGAGTAACTGCCCATCTACTGGAATCACCTCCATGCTCTTGAGACTGTGCTGGGAGACACAGCAAACATTCTGGCAATGGCACGTATTGATGTGCCATCCTGGAGGAGTTGGACTGCCTCTGCAACTTCTGTAGGGTCCAGGTATCGCCTCATACTACCAGTAGTGACACTGACCCTAGCCAAATGCAAAACTAGTGAAAAACAGTAAGAAAAGAGGAGTAGGGGAAAAATGTCAGTGACCTCCACCTGTAAAACCATTCCTGTTTTGGGGGTCCTCTCATTGTTTCCCATCTAGTGCACCTGTTGTTAATTTAATTAACACCAAAGCAGCTGAAACTGATTAACAACCCTCTTTGCTACTTAACTGACCAGATCAATATCCCAGGAGTTTATTTGACTTGATGATATACTCTATGCTTCTTTTAATTGTTTTGAGTTCCTGATGGTTATAAAAGCTCTTTATTAATATCCATAACTTATTGTACATTCCAAAAAGTGGACCCTTATTATTTTACTTTTTTTATAGAAAAGAACAGACAGCAAAATAAAATAACGTAAAATAAAAAAATGACAGTATACAATTACTGATCAAATGCCCCAAAACAAGGAAAACCCCACAAAGAACAATAAGTCTTGTATTTTATTTTATTGTAACTGTACTGTTTCCTTTTATGGTGTAAAGTTCTGTGCAAACTGTTGACACTATGTAAATCCTGTATAGTAATAATAATACAAACATAAACTAGAGTAGATATTTAAATTTTTTTCAGGCAAATTTGGCTAAAGTAAAAAATTAAACTGAGGTACTGCCTTGCTGGAATTTTGTCAAACAATAATTCTGGCTTCTACCCACACTGGCCTCAAAGTATGTATTGCTGTGATAGGGCCATAAGAGTCCAAGATCCTTCATGAGCAGGAACTTATGTGTCCTCTGGAAAGGATAATGCATAATGCTGGTACTACATTAATAAGTAAATAAATTCATAAATAGCCAGTGTTGGACAACAGAGGCCTCAAAACTTGATTCTTGATAAGTAGCCCCTTAAATAGGAAGCTGTATTGTATAACATTAGCTTTAAGATTCTTCACAGTGTAGGGCTTGACAAAAGGCTCAGCAAAAACTTTCACTTTCCTTACAGAACCTTCCTTTGATTTTCTCTTCTGTGTTGGCCTACTGCAACTTAACCATTCTTCTCCAGGAGCAACCATCAGCTCTCTGCGCTGTTCTCCAGTCCAATCTACTGGAAGGGGTTAAAAGAATTTGGCTATTGAGTCAAGGAATGTTAGATCAGTAGCTGGAACAGCATGGGGTGTTCTTACGGCAAGCTTCATTGAATCCATACAAAAAAAAATGGGCAAGCTGTCTGTCCATTTATCAAACTGAGCAGCACTTCGTCCAACAAGTTTCCCCAACTTTTTTTTTTTATTTTTAGAGTGTTTTCTGAAGTTCTGCTCCAGAAACAAATCTGGTACAAAACAGCTAAAAGAGAGCAAGACCCAACACTTTGGTGCAGATGTGTAAATTAGACAGGGCTGTTGAAAATACATGGGTGATGCATTCTCCTTCTGAATGGCTTTTAATAAAAGTAAGCCCTCCGTTTTCGAACACAATAAATAGAGCAACATCTTGGAAATTCATCAAAACTGACTTTCTTTATTTTTTTTTAAATCTGAACAGCTGAATGCATCCATCTGTTTGTCAAATGTACAACCATTTTTGAAGTAACAAAAACAAAGTATGAAAAAGTTTAGTGTTAGATTTATGTATTCCTTCATGGGTGATCTGAAGTATAAAGCTGAATATTCACATTTTTTTTACAACAAAGGAAAACATTTTTCCATGAAAGGTGTAAGAGCTTATAATTTTTTTTAAAGTTAATAAAAACTCAGATGTCGCTTCAATGTGATTTTGAGTTCAATTAAATTTTGCTGAGGACTCTGTGCAGATTAAAAACATGTCTAAAACATGGCACACTGTATTTTTAGGCTCCACGGTTACTCATTTTTCTACTGATCTACTGGTTGTAGGGGACAAGAGTAGATGTCACTCCTGTTGTGTAACTTGAAGATAGAACTTGTTCGGGCCATGGACATTTAAATATTTACATATACTTAACAAACAGTAAGTACGCTTTAAAACAAGCCCTCAATGACCCCCGTAGCTGCAGACAATGTGGAGCAATCTATCCCTAAATATCGTGATAGAATAATTAAAGTAGTTTAGCCATATCATGTCATGTCATGTCATGACTAATACCTGAGGGTCGAAACACATTGGCTTTTTATGGCTGTTTATCACCATTATTATTAAAGGGCGATATACACTGGCGCCAGTCTTCTTATGCTTACTGAAGATTGGAGATCTTCAGAGACCTTTGAGGCTGGGCGCTGTAGTTCAGATACTGAGAATGACTCACAGAGGGCAGATTTTGAATAGTTACCTACAGCTACAGAGGTTGGAGAGGATTTGTTTTAACCGCTTTCCGTCTGCCCTATAGCAGACGTACTGCTACAGGGAGACATGGGTGCGTGAAATCACAAATATATATGTGATTTCGCATTTCTGGGTAAGGGGCACGCACGAGGAGCAAGTGCCCTACCATCGCCATCATTCATGGTGATTACTCGCCAACACCCAGTGATTGCCGAGCATCTGCAATGGGGGGGGGGGAAACTGTTTGTAAACAAAACAGTTCTCTCCCCTGTGAGCTCCTGCACACTGCTTTGCATGGCTGTGCATAGCACAGTGTGCTTACACTGAAGCACAAACACACAGCCCCTAGTAAAACACACACAGCACACACTTAACATTTCAACCTTTTTCTTTTTTCAGCTGTGCTAAAACTTTCATTTTTATTAAAATGTCTCACACTGAAAAAAGGTCATGACCTTGAACGGGCTATGCCCCCTCTAAGATAGCTGACCTTTGGTAATATATTTTTATTGCTTGCAGATAATTAGACAGCAGTTCCCACAACTGACCACAAGGAGACTGGGAACCAGAGGACAATCAAAGTGAGTACAAAAGTCGAATGGATCACAGCTGTGGGGATGTCCCTGTGGCAAAGATCACTTTACAATTTTGTCACTAATTTTGTTGACACTGACAAAAAATATATTATTCAGTTTTATGCCCATGACTAGTGAAGATGTTTGTAATATATATACGAGGGGTATTCAAGTCAAATTGGGACTTTTGAGTTTTTTATAATAAAATAAAAAATTTCAAAGAGTGAAAACTGCATTTATTTTTCAACATACTCTCCTGCTACATTTATACACTTATCCCAGTGTTTAACTAATTTGTCAGTACGCTTGCACCATCCTAGGACAGCCTGCATCACTTCATCATCATTGTGTTCACCGTTCCCACAGAAAGATTCATCTCTTGTGACTATCATGACAGGTTATGTGTCGATGATCCAGGATCACGGGTTCCACTTGCTGAACGTTCACAGGAATGACAGCTGTGGGAATGGGAACCACCATGGCCAGGATCATCACTGACGGACGGACGGTCATCTTTTGAAACAATTACACCATTCAAATGTCTTACTGGGGCTGAGCGTCTCATCACCGTACTGTGCTTGAAGTCTTCTGTAGATAATCGCGGGGTTTACACCTTCGTTCACAAGAAACTCCATCAATCACCACATGCTATTCCATGCACGCACTAACACTGTCATCTGCCATCTTGATTAATGGTCTCTGGACTGGCCCGTGACATGTGCGATGCCTATCAGTAATAGGACACACTTGCCACTGACTACTGCGTGTAGTACTGCCATGCTAGCATCCATTTTTATACCTGTAATATCCCAGTTTGACTTGAGCACCTCTTGTGTATATATATAAAAACAGAGCGAGAGAGAGAGAGAGAGAGAGAGAGAGAGAGAGAGAGAGAGAGAGAGAGAGAGATGGTTTCTTTAAAATACTCACTCAAATTTACAATTTTTAGGTATAAAAACATTAAGACATTTACTGGGTCTGTTTTAAGTCACAGAATGCATTAAATAGAAAACAAAGAACATGTAATGCATTAAACATTTTTGCAACATTGCTTATAGATATCCTAACATAATGTACATTTCACAAAAATATAGACAAGTACAGAAAAGGTATATGTGACATTCATGCAGAGATTAAGAGACTGCAAAACAAAAATATGCAACTACACTTCAGAAAAGTGTTACATACCCAAAAATAAAGATTCCTTGGGCATTGCATCTTCCACTGTTTTAGTGGGCTGCTGTACTTTTCCACCATACTGGTTGGTGCCATGTAAACAAAAGTATAAGGGCTCTTTTACATTAGGACCTGCATGCGAATTGCACAGGAACACTATGCAGTTCCTGTGTGATTCACATGCAATTCCTGTGTGATTCACATGCAGCTCAGAGCAGAGCGTTTTTAGCCCAATCATTTTGAATGGACTAAAATCCCACCACACCAAAAGTAGTGCATGCACTATACTTTTTACTATGTGATCTAGTGCAAGCTGGTCATTAACTTTGTACTGACACCCACAACAGATCTCAAGGACAGCGCGACTGGAATATGGTGAGGGAACGCAGCTTTCCTGCACTGCATTCTAGTGTGAAAGGGCCCTAAGGGTTCTGAGAAGGAAACAAGATTTTAGGAGATCTTAAGCTTTCAGGGCACAGTAGTTTGGGTCTGTCTGGCCTTATCTGTGACACTACAGACTCCAACACTATATTTAATATAATACTTTGCACTGCAGTCATTATTTGTAACAATATATGGTTTCATTTAACTATTTAAAAATATAAATATGTACTAGCAATCGAAGAATTTCCAAGAGAAAATAAAGTTTTAACATTGCAGCAATTATTTTTGCTTCTTTTGATCTACAGTATGCACCATTTTCCAGAAGTACAGCCTGCTATGGGGTGTCACTACTGTTTTCTGGGGATTTTTTTAATATAATAATTTAGGTATGTTAAGGAATCACCATAACTATCTGTAATCCACTAACTATTCATATCAGCAAACATTTTAATTTTAATTATGAATGGCTGATGCCTCTTGAAAACTAAAAAGAGGGGACATCTTTTGCTACAATTTTCAGCGTTGACGTTTCTTGCTTCCTAGTTGCAGTTATTAGGGTGCATTCTCTTTTATAAAATAAATGGAAAATGCTGCAGTGTAGACATGAAATACGCCAAATACATGAAAAATACTACAGGGAAGGTGAAAGCTCCCTGTTGTAGCTGTGGCAGTGGGTGTACAAGATTTGCCCTCAGAACCTATGACATATACAATATAGGTGCCAGTGAGTCAATGAACTTGCTAGCATCTATATAGTGTAATATTTGCAAGGACTTATCCTTTGCCAGCTAGAAGGGACCTTTATTTATCAAAATATAAAGTACAGTATATCTAAAGCCAAAACTTTCTTTTTTAGTTTTGGAAATAGTAAAAATCCCTATCACTTGTTTTCTTTTGTTATCTCTTGTCCCTTGGGGAGAGTTGTTTTTACTTCCGGTCCCATAGTCACAACAAAAAGTGAGATGAATTCTCACCAAATAACGGAAATACTATCTTAGACAGTTGTCATTGGAATAAGTGTCCCCATTGGACCTTTATACAGATGTTATATAGCGGCTAAAGCTCGGTTCACATTACTGTGACCTGAAAGTTGCATGACTTATGATGCTACTTTGTCAGGTGACTTCCTGGTAATTTGCTGGTGACTTGATGTGACTTGAGTACAACTTTGATGTGACTTGATGTCCGACTTTCATGCCATGTAATCTTCCTGTAATGTTGGATCCAAATCACATCAATATTGGAGGTAACTTCCATTTAAGTCTTTGGGCACAAGTCAGATAGATATCTCTTTGAAGTAGTACAGGAACCTTTTCTAAAGTCAGAAGTCATTGACAAACATGGTATTTCACATGTCATGTGACTTGGGGTCTCACAAGTCAGACCTGAAGTTGCGGCAGTGTGAATCGAGCCTAAATCTGTGTCTGTAGTGCATGTTCAAACCTTAATTTAATAAATAATAACATGCTATTAGATTTTTACTCCAGGAGTATATAGTGAGTCTGGCAATTCTAGAGAAATGCTTAAATAATGCATAATAACTTACTTAAGCCCATTAGATTTTAGTTGACTAAAATGTACTGGAGATTTTAGTCGACTAAAACACAACTAAAACTAAAACAATTCAGATGACGACAATATGGCTAAAACTAAAATTACATTTTAGTCAAAAGACTATGACCTAAACTAGATCGAAATTTGATGTAAAAATTAACACTGTTCAGATGATAGTTACAAACCTGACAATTCCTCTCTATCCAAAAACAGAAAAAAGTTTTGGCTTTTAAGATGTTTTTTTTTTCCACCACCAGGTATCATTATTATGGCATCGCTGTTAAGGAGACCTCTCAATATTATGATGTTATGTATTCTAAGAAAGGAGCCGCATGGGTCAACGAGACGGGAAAAAAAGAAGTCACAAAGCAGACAGTCGCGTATTCACCACGATCCAAGCTTGGAACATTATTGCCAGAGTTCCCAAATGTCAAAGATCTAAATCTGCCAGCTAACATCCCAGAAGAAAAGGTAGCTATAGAGCCAAATTTGTTCACCAGGGTCTCTGTTCTCTGTTATTTCAAAAGCCATACTAGACAATGTCCACCTTCTAGCCATTTAAGTAAAAAATGGACTTTATCTAAGACAATGTAGCTGATAGGACCATGAACTTCATTTGGGGCTTGCTTGCTAAAAGAAATGACACTAGCGGTATATCAGAAGTAATTTTACAATGACCAGGCTCATTGCTTGCCATGGATTAGAGCAGCCTTTTTCAACCAGAATGCCATGGCACTCTGACGTACCTTTTGGGTTTCCTCAGGGTTACCTTGCCAAAATGCCTAAAATTGCCCCAAATTGCCCATAAATTGACCACATGCCAGCAAGTGGATCAAGCCTGTCTTTTTGTTACACAAAACCACAGGTTCCTATTGTGCAGCTATACATCCAGCCACTGGTGTCCTGACAACCAATGATGTCATCTGGGGTCACAATAGTTGAACAAGGGAGAGAACCTGAGAAAATGTTGGAATACTAGTCAGTACCAATGTGCAAAGATGTATTTACTTTGTAAAATAAATCACATCTAACATTGGGTGTCCTACATGTGTGGATGTTGCTGCTTTATGTAAAAACTATTAGTTTAGGTTTTTACATTTTAGAATGTGGTGCCTCAATATTGTGCAAAATGTAAGACAAATTTAAGGCTGAGGAAAAATAGATTAGATTACATGTGTATGCATAATTTCCTTATGTACATTAGGAATTGGTAAAATTCATACAGTATGTATCAATATCAAAGTTCCTTTAAAGAGTATCTAAACCTAAAACCAAAAATTCAATATACTGCAGCTTTCAAATCTTTAAATGTATTGGCTGCATTCATTATCTTTAATTTAGGCTTTTTAACCCTTTATTTTCACTTGGTGATCCTGTTAGTAAGTCTGTTATTTTTCATCTTCTTTTAAGAGACCAAGCTCTCCAGAAAAAGTGTTAAGGAGTTGGAACAAACCATTTAATACTGACAGGGGTAGTTACAATAGTTAGATTATATGCATTTATGTAAAACATGTATCCCAAATGTCTACTAAAGTTCAGCTTTGTTTGTCAAATTCATATAAATCTTCTAGTTGTAGCACCCTCCTAGTTAGGTGCTAGGATGTGTATAGTTAGGTTAAGCATAGCTGTGTTTCTGTGATCACCAGAGAGGCTGTCAGGTAAATTCAGTGTGGTGATTGATACGTTAGGTCTGCTCATTCTGCTCTGGTGCTCTTGGAGTTCTGCCTGCCTTCAGGAAGCTATGAGAGCCTTCTAGAACATGGGTAGGGGCTAGGCAAATGAACAGCATGAATATGGATACAACCCTAGCCAATTATGTTCGGAAAGCACATGACTTCAGGTTGTTTCCCATGAGTGGATTGCACCAACCAGGCTGGAGGCAGGCTTCCTCGCCTGGCACATGTGACCATGTGGCCTCAGGTGGGTCAACCTGAGGACCAGTAGGGAGAGAGTGACCCTGATCTTGCAGGAAGCTGACTGAGGGGAGTTGTCTGTCAAGGCTGTGTCTGATAGCACTGGAGGATTTTGCTTGGAAGATTGAAGGAGGCAACTATTCTATCCTTGGGCCTTGTGAGTACTGATATTGAGGAACTTGGGGACACTGTGTGCTTGCTACCTCCCCTGGTGTTTGATAGTCAGCGTGGGTTTGGAAAAAGGGAACACTGGCTACTATTCTGAAGAGCTTGTCCAAGCGTTGCTACTGCAAAGGACTTTGCTCAGCTATGTTACCTTTGGGCTGTTGCAGTCTGTCGTAATTGGCTTATACCTGAGGAGCTCAGCCCTGTAACTACTACTACTGCAAAAAGGGATTTTGCTCACTCTTAAACCATGTGTTGCTATATGTTACAAGGAAGTCTGCTATCTACTTTCAGGCAAGTCTTCATAAGTGTTCAACTAAGAGATCAGATAGATGTCCTCAGAGTGAATAGTTCTAATTTTGGAGTTTCCTACTACAATTCCCCATCCCTATCCCCAGTTCTACAACAAAACTCCAAAAAGTAAACATCCCCTAGACTGGTCATTAAAGACAATGATTAGAAGTGTGTATTTGGCTGAAGGAATACGCTGTCCATGGCTGTAGGGTGAAGTAAGGGGAAAACGGGACATCATACAAGCGGCTCCTACAAGGGTAGCACTACATAGTAATCTAACACTACCCTCTCCCCAGATTGACAATGCTGCTGTCGAGGAGTCTCTCCATTGTCCCTCCTTATAGCTGAGCTACTCAAAGACAGGAAGTGTGTTAATGGCAGGCTCACCAGGTGAAAATGACAGAAAAAAAGCCTAAACAAAAGAAAACTAATGCATCTATCACATTTAAGGATTATAAAATGTTTGTTTGGGGTTTAGATATGATTTAACATAACACATATATGTCCAATTTTCTAACACTTGAAGGTATATTTTTAAAGCAATGAATGTGGCTTTTACCAAACATTCACTAGTGGTGAACCAATCACTATAATTTAGGACACATTCATTGACGTGCAGTCAATGTTTGGTTGAATCAATATTACTCAGTGTACAGCGCACCTATAACCAATCATATAAAATGATTCAACTTATATAAAAATGTAAATACATAATTCACAAGCTCATTAAAGTGCTAGAAAAAGCTCACATTAAGCGTAACTTCTCTTCTCTCGTATGATGTATAAAGTGCTTCATCCAAAATTGTGCAAAGTATAACTTCTATTCTTCTATACAATATAAAAGTGCTCGGTGCAGAATAGTGCAAACATCAGTTCTTTATATCAGTCCCACCTTCAGCGCTTCACTCCACCACTGTGCACCTCCAACATTCTGGAAAACTCATCAGATAACCATGACCTCTCACTTAAGAGTTGGTCTTAATCCAGGGATCCACCTCTTCTTGCTTACAGTGTCACCAGGGGAAAGAGGCCTTCTGAAGACGTCATTACAATTAAATGTATGTCAAGGTGGAGATACAGAAAGTGACGTTATTCCATCCCAATGGAGACACCTGGAAGTGGTGAGAACGTCTGAATGATGGAAAGGACCAGGCTTCCGCTAGGCTGCAGTGCAGCCGGCCCATCATGATAGTAGGCTGTTTAACCTGGGTGCAGGGCGGAATTCCCCTTTTTTTTTATGTATTTGCACAAAGCGTTTTTAATGAAAGGGTTTTACACTATTGGGGTCTCTTTCCCCTTTGCTTTTATGATGTCCCTGGTGACAATTTTGGATGAAGCACTTTACACGTCATATGAGAGAAGAGAAGTTACACTTTATGTGGACTATTTGGCACATTAATGAGGAAGAGCGCTGTACACTGAGTAATATTGATCTAAGCACATATTGTGTGAAATAAAGCTGCTGAAGTATAAGTATTTTATACTTTTATACATATACCCCTTGGTGTTTAACTGTAACCTAATGTTTTATGTTATCAGCCATTTCATGCTTGCAAGATCCTGAATTAGATTTAACTTTAGGTTAGTGTAGGAAACAAAGTCCCCCAATAGTAACAGCTATATGTAAGATATCCTGAGCTCTGAAAAGAATCTGAAAAATGTACTTATATCCTCAATACATTTTAGAGCATTTGTGATGCAACGTTCACACTTTTACTCACTTGGCTTTTCCAAAGTTTTGCTATTGTATTAAAGCCAAACTCCAGGCATACAGCTAAATACCCATATCAAATACATAAAGGAGAACTGTATTATCTGCCAAAGGATTTGTATTTCTGTCCATCTCTTCAAGAGATTTACACAGCCCACTACACAGCACAATTCTGAATGACAGGGAAAAAGACTTGATCTCAGCTAAAGTTATATTACACTTACAGGTTTTGTCCTGCACCCAGCCCTTTGGCTGCACAGTGATTGGAGAAGCAGCAGACTGATGAGTCTATCTCTCTGTCCCTATGCTCTCTCCTCCTATCAGCATGTTTTTAGTTAGCACTTGAGCACTGCAGAACAAACTGGCTCCTTGTGCTGCACCTCCCCCTCCCATACTGAGCTCTGCTGTACAGGAACTGCAAGAGGCCGATACCAAAACCTATGCAGGCACTTACATTTTTTTTATTAAAACAAATCCATTTTATTATCTGTCAATGAATACAGAGCTGTATCAATTTGTGGATTTTACATCTGCCTGGAATTCAGGCTTAAATACTGTGATTTGTGCATTAACCTCTAAAGGGTGCTTCAGACCACATCCTGGTATAAAGAGGAACTTCAGGCAAACAGCTACGAAAGGATTTGTAATTCTGTGCTGCCAGGATTGTGATTTACCAACAAATACACTATATTGCCAAAAGTATAGGGACACCCCCTTCAAATCATTGGATTCAGCTGTTCCAATCACCTCCATGGCCACAGGTGTATAAACTCAAGCACCTAGGCATGCAGACTGCTTCTACAAACATTTGTGAAAGAATGGGTTGCTCTCAGGAGCTCAGTGAATTCAAGCGTGGTACTGTGATAGGTTGCCACCTGTGCAATAAATCCATCTGTGACATTTCCTTGCTACTAAATATTCCACGGTCAACTGTTAGTGGTATTATAACAAAGTGGAAGCAACTGGGAACAACAGCAACAAGTGGTAGGCCAGGTAAAATGACAGAGCGGGGTCAGCGCATGCTGAAACACACAGCCGAGCAGCTGCATCCAAGCCTTACATCATCAAGTGCAATGCAAAGCGTCAGATGCAGTGGCGTAAAGCATGCCACCACTGGACTCGTTTGGCGGTTGCCAGGAGAATGGTACTTGCCTGACTGCATTGTGCCAAGTTTACTGGAGGGGGGTTATGGAGTGGGGTTGTTTTTTAGGAGTTGGGCTTGGCCTCTTAGTTCCAGTGAAAAGAACTCTTAAGGCGTCAGCATACCAAGACATTTTGGACAATTTCATGCTCTCAACTTTTTGGGAACAGTTTGGGGATGGCCCCTTCATGTTCCAACATGACTGCACACCAATACACAAAGCAAGGTCCATATAGACATGGATAAGCGAGTTTTGGGTGGAGGAGAGTCCTGACCTCAACCCGATAGAACACCTCTGAGATTAATTAGAGTGGAGACTCTAAGCCAGGCCTTCTCCTCCGACATCAGTGCCTGACCTCATCAATGCGCTTCTGGAAGAATGGTCAAAACTTCCCATAGACACACTCCTAAACCTTGTGGACAGCCTTCCCAGATGACTTGAAGCCATTATATAAAGGCAGGCATCCCAATACTTTTGGCAATATAGTGTATCTGCCACGTTAATTTTCTGGATCAATAATGCAGCTTCCTTTGTAACATCTCCATATAAAGGCTACTTACTGGGCAAAGAATCAGCATCATCACCTCTATCCAGTAGGTAAAAAAGTGACAGGAAACCAATAAACTAAAGCAGCTCATAGATAATTCGATTTTCTATCCTTCCACCATGGGTTGCAGGAAAGAAAATTGCTAGATTTCTATGGCTGACTGTGTAGATGGGGTATTCTCTTCCGCACTAATGTTGTGCTCTGCTGGTGGAGGGCCTTCCCTACAGGCAGAACACAATGATCACTGCTGGCGGTTATAGTAAGAATTTATGTAAAAAAATCTGACAGGCTGGTTGTACCCAAGTCGATTGATGGATCGATTTGGGTACAACCAACCTGCCCATAGATGGATCAAATTTCGTCCAGTCCCTACCAAGATTCAGTTCATCTATGGCCTGCTTTAGATGAACTCGGACTGTTTATTTAGCTATATGCCTGGAGTTCCATTTAACAACTGTTGAGATAAGACCTCCCTCACATTTTTCAATAAGTCAGCAAACTCACAGACTTGCATTGTGAGAAGGAGCAGTAAAGCACAACCACTGTGGAACAATGCAAAATAAGAAGCTGAATTTGAGTATGTAATTAGCAAATATGGCTGTCCGCATGCACATATACAATTTCAAACTATACATAGAAACAAAGGTAAAATATATAATACCATTATTCATATTTATCTAAAAAGTCTCTGATACAGACTATACATTACCTTTAAATGAGATAAGAGAAATCACATACATAATTTCTTTAAGATAACTCTATTATACCTATATATTAAATCTATTTGTAATGAAAACTTATTTTTTATTCTATAGATTTCAACATTTATAATGATGTATAGAACCCACTGCCAAAGGATTCTGGACACTGTGATACGAGCCAACTTTGATGAGGTATGGTAATGTACAGTTTCTTTAAGTACATGTAAAGAAAGCTAGTGATCTCTAACAGATAAAACCTACCCTACTAATTTAGTGAACTTTAAAGCATAAATAAAGGCACTTTTTTTTTCTTGTATCGAATAGAGTGCAGGTGGATGAGAACACCTGTCAGCTTTTATTGCTGTCTGTGCCCTGGATAAGGAGTTTTTACCTTATTTATTTGTCATGTTTCCCATTATCATTGAAAGTGAAAGTAAAAGAAAAATCCCAAATTTGGATTGTCCCCAAAAAAGTATTAGAGGGGAAACTTTCCCACGGGAACTATAGTTTGAGTTACCTGGGAGTCCCCAAGGAATTCCCTTCATTTGTAGGGATTTCCTCTCACTTCCTGTTTGGCTATGGGACAGGAAGTTAAGTGAAATCTCCACAATGGGACACAGATGGCAAAAAAAAACCCTCCCTTGCTCTATCCAAAATGAAAATAAAATGGCCTATATTTTTAAATAGTTATTTGGACCAGTGTGGTAGAGATTATCACATAATACAAAACTCCCTGCGGAAGACAGCACTCAGTCCGACTCGATTTTGTTCTGGGAGTAGGACAGGAAGTGCCCATCTCACTGCCAGCTGATGCTACAAAAAAAAAAAAAAAACACTTTAAAGTTCACTAAAACATGAAGTTAGGCTTTAAAATATTTTTGATAAAAATGTATTGAATAATTTAGAATTATTGAATAATTTAGGTCCTCCTATTACAGAGTGTTGGTAATTCTAAGGCAGGGGTCTCCAAACTTTCTGCACAATGGGCCAGTTTACTGTCCATCAGACCTTAGGGGGGCTGGACTGTGGCCAGTGGGTGAAGAAAATACCCCAGCATCAGTGAGAGTGGACAATGTCTCAGGCTTGGTAGTCAGTGGGAGTAAAAATATGACATATCACCTATGGTCAGTAGGAGGACTATGGCCCCATCATTGGTATTGTTGGTATTGGTAGAACCAATAAAGCCCCATTGTTGATGCCAGTGAAAGGAATACTGTCCCATCATTGGTATCAGTGGGATGAATAGTGCACTATTGCTGGTGTCAGTGGGAGGTATTATGTTCCATTGTCAGTGGAAGGCATGGTGCTTCATCATTGGTGTCAGTGGGAGGAATAGTGCCCCATGTTGGTGTCAATGGGAGGTATTATGCCCCACTGTCAGTGGAAGGCATGGGTGCTTCATCATTGGTGTCAGTGGGAGGAATAGTGCCCCATGTTGGTGTTAATGGGAGGTATTATGCCCCACTGTCAGTGGAAGGCATGGTGCTTCATCATTGGTGTCAGTGGGAGGTATTATGCCCCACTGTCAGTGGAATGCATGGTGCTTCATCATTGGTGTCAGTGGGAGGTATTATGCCCCACTGTCAGTGGAAGTCATGGTGCTTCATCATTGGTGTCAGTGGGAGGTATTATGCCCCACTGTCAGTGGAAGTCATGGTGCTTCATCATTGGTGGCAGTGGGAGGAATAGTGCCTTGTATCAGCAAAAGTAACAGTGCCCCAAGGTCCAGATAAATGCAAGTAAACAGCCACATCTGGCCCACGGGCCATAGCTTGGAGACCACTGCTCTAAGGGACAGAGATTGTCCAGTCAGAATGTACGGTGCATGATGAGCTTAAAGCAGAACTTCACCTAAAAAGGGAAGTTCCACTTTTCCTCCTCTCCCCCTCCTCTACCACTATTGGATGTTTTTTTTTTCTTGGAATGAGTACCTGCTTCTGACAGGTACCCATTCTGCACCTTCACTGAGATCAACGGAAGGTACCCCCTCCCCAACTCTGCCTGCAATCTCCGGGGATACGTCACAGGTCCCAGGAGGCTATGGGTCCATTGAGAAAGTGCAGTGCTACTTGCACATGCACAGTGGGAGGCTGACTGTGAAGCACCAGCCGGCTTCCCATATCTAAGATGGCAGTGCTGGGGACCCAAAGACCAGTGAAGAACTGACCTGGGTGAGGACTATACAGTATCCCTGAGCTGGTAAGTGGCTGTTTATTAAATCAGCAGCTACAATATTTTTTTTCACCAGAGTGAAGTTCCTCTTTAAGGTCTCTTACACACTTATGTAATAATTTACTGTTGTTAATCACAAGATATTATTTGGGGAGGCTGGCAGAAAAATCATGAGTAAAAAAACAAAGTTATGTTCCATAAAGGTGTTGCATATATAGTACATAAATCAATGAATGTACAGGACAGCTGCCAGTGTTTCAGTTTATGTATAGGTGTAAATTACTGCACTCAAATATAAAAGTTTATATAATATTTTATTGCTCTTAAAGTGTTACTAAACCCAGGACCCTGCATTCACTATATCTGGTCTGCCACAATACACACAACATGGATATGCAATTATTTTAGTAAATATAAAACTGCTAAATACCTTTTCTCATCAGCAGTTAGAGCAGTCTTGTGACATCTATCAGTGTCCAGCAGAGCACTGGTTAAAGCTTGTAGGAGGAGCTTTCATTCTCTCCTATGACTCTGCATAACCCCTGACCTCTGTCTGGACAGTGCTGATTGGCCCTGTGCTGATCACATGCACTCTCCCAAGAAAAAAAACTCTCTAGCAATACACAACAAACTGAGCATGTGCAGAGTGACTCCACACAATATGTCTTATCAGGAGATAAGAGGGGGGCATGGGACAAAGGGGAGGATCAGAGAAGTCAGGATCAAACAGTGTTTTACACAATGCAGAGGAGTAACCCCTTAGGTTTCACAGTGAGTATAACAAGCATACTTTACTCCAGATAGAGATTGATTTTACTGTTTACACTTTAATGCATTGCTGCATAGACAATAATGCACTAGTGTTCAGATTGGTAAAAATACAGAGTTTTTTCACCCATGTGAAAGAGACCTTAATTTTCTTTAGACTGGTTAAATCGAGCAAGACACTAGAGCAGGGGTCTCCAAACTATGGCCCTCCAGCTGTTGAAGCACTACAAGTCCAATCATGCTTCTGCCTCTGGAAGTCTTGCCTGTGGCTGTCACAGTCTTGCAAGGCCTCGTGGGACTTGCAGTTCCTGAACACCTGGAGGGCCATAGTTTGGAGACCCCTGCACTAGAGAAAAAGGGATGTTCAGTCACCTTTCATTCTCTGTAGACTTCTGATCTACGTTTTAATGCCAGGTGATATCTGAAAGAAAGAAAAAAAAGTTGAACTCCAATCCTCAATAGCCACCAAGGATATATAGTGAATCCACTTTGTGTGCACTGACTGTCTGCAAACCTTGTAAAAGTAGCAGTGAGATTATCACTAGACTCTACATAACCTGTACAGAGAGCAGAGCTCTGGAAGGGATCCAGAAAGCCCCACCCACTACAGGCTGCCCGCAGAAAACTCTAGGAGGGGGCGGAGACAAGACCAGTCACCCAGTACAACAAAAAGTAGCAGCAGTGACTGGTCTGTTTTACAGGAAACTCATGCACAAAGGAAAAGTTTCACACCAGATTGCTGCACAGATCTGGAAAAAATATATGGCATTCAAGTTAGAATACACATGACTTCTACATTTACACAATATTTGTTTATCTCAAATTTAAACTTTAAATTGAATCCAAAGCTCCAGTGAAGCACAGTGTCCAGAGTGGCTCTGAGCTGTTGATTCTCAGTGCAGTCATCTATAGCGGGCAGTGTTCAATTAACATGTTTAAAGTGGATCTAGCATCAGATTTTAAGTACATGCATGGTTCGTAGTATGTCACTAAGTAATGCTTAGGCCCCTTTCACACAAGGCGGAGTCCAATTTGCTCAGCAGGGGATCTGTCTGCTGATCCCCTGCTGATTGGAGCAGGATGGGCAGATGACACATCAGTTGTCTGCTCAGTTTATGCAGAGTGGACACAGACAGACCCTGCTCTGTTTTGTGGGCGGCCGGGGTGTAAACGGCCTCTGCTGTCCATTTATCCAACTGCCCTCTGATCCGCCTTGATGGAGGGGGACAGGTCCCTTTCGGGTTTTTTTTAGCAGATTGGATTGGAGGTAGGCAGGTGTAAATGGACACAATTCCTATAGGGACACACAGACCATAATGATCAGGTCCACCTGAAAAACTGACGTGCGGGACCTGATCGGATCGCCTGTGTGAAAAGGGGCCTTACAGATATGCATCACCTCTCACATATTTGACAGTACTTCCCCTGGCAATGCTTGATCTACTTTCCTCTCCAGAAGGATGGTGACATCTTCATTCAGGCATCATCATGGGTCAAAATCTACTTCCTGGACAGAGATGGTGGCACATAGATGACAGTATCATGTTAATCCTGGTGTCTGTGTAATTCTTGGCTGTGTTAACAAATGTCCGACACAGGTCAGCCCCTGCTGCAGTCTCTCTTATGAGTCACTTCCAAGTTACAATGTGACAAGAGTGATAATTGGAGGAGACTGAAGAAATGTTTCCTCCTGCCAGCCTGCCTGCCTACTGACGATATCATCTCATCCTAGGCAATGGAGCTTAAAAAATGTTTTTAATTATAAAACTGCAGCTTTTCTGAAAAATTAAACTGTTGTTATTTATTGAGACGTCAAAAATGTATCCATGCAGCCTTGTAAAATTATCAACTGGTCTACCTTAAAAGGTCAACTTTGCCCAAGATTTGAATTGCATGTTAGCTTCTTTTATCTTTCATGGATGTCAATTGCGACAACTCCACCAGAATTCACTAATGTTTTAATTACAATGTCAATTTATGGTGTCCCCCTCCCCACAGCTTTCTCCACAATGTGAATTAACTATGTAAGGGTGACATCATTATGGCTTTGTGGGGCATAAGAAGCCAGAGGGTATCCCAGCAATTATGCTTAGAATTGTGATTTTTTTTTTTTAGGTTCAAAGTTTTCTCCTGCACTTTTGGCAAGGCATGCCTCCACACATGCTGCCAGTCCTGGGCTCGTCCACGGTGGTGAATATAGTGGGAGTGTGCGATTCTATATTATATAAAGCCATCTCTGGCGTTTTGATGCCAACAGTATTACAAGCGTTGCCTGACAGGTGGGTGCACTCACACTATTCCATTCTGTAATGTTTTTATATACATGGACAGTAGAGTGGCTTAGTGGGTAGCACTTCTGCCTTGCAGCACTAGGGCCAACATTTCAAATCCCAACCAGAACACTACCTGTTTGGAGCTTACATGTTCCCCTTGAGCTTGCATGGGTTTCCATCCACACTCCAAAACCATGCTGGTAGGTCAATTGGGAACTTAGTCTGTAAGCTCCTTGAGGACAGGAACATATATATGTGAGTTATAGTTCTTTATCCTTCAGCCCAATTGAATGTTCAGCTTAAATCAGCTAAATGCATTTCAGGTACATCACAACAAAATGCATACCCTGCTAGCATGCAGCAGAGAAGGACCCTTGCTCTCTCTGCGAATCAGTGGTATCTGCAGAGGCCTGACTTACCCCGTTCAGTCAGAACTAGAACTCTGCAATCAGAAACTTCATTCTCCCTGCTGATTATAGACCTCTAGCTCTGACTCAGCAGGGACATGTTGTACCTTTGCAAAGAGACCTCTGCTTACGCACAAAGTAAGGGTCCTTCTCTGTAGCTGCTAGCAGGAGAGAGGGGCTTTCTACCCAGGTTTTGGCTGCTTTCTAAAGAAAACTAATGGTAAGACATTGCACATCTTCTGTTTTGATGTACTTGAATTTACTTTGCTGATTTAAAGTGAAAGTTCAGTTGGGATTTAAAAATAATTGCCTAAGCTCCCACCTCACCAACAACAACCTTCTCGACCCTTTACAGTCTTTGCTTTCGCCCTCTACACTCCCCTGAAACTGCCCTACTAAAACTCACTAATGATCTACTAACTGCTAAAACCAATGGCCATTATACAGTACTCTTACTACCCGACCTCTCTGCAGCTTTTGATACGGTTGACCATTCCCTCCTCCTCAAAAAACTTCACTCTCTTGGCCTCAGAGATTCCCCTCTCTCCTGGTTCTCCTCCTATCTATTGCAGCACTCCTTCAGTGTTACCTATAACGCTGCCTCCTCCTCTTCACTCCCTCTCTCTGTAGGGGTCCCTCAAGGTTCTGTCCTTGGACCCTTTCTCTTCTCTATCTACACCTCCTCCCTTGGTCACTTGATAAACTCCCATGGCTTCAATTACCATCTCTATGCTGATGACACACAAATCTATCTCTCTACCCCTCACCTCACCCCCCTTCAGTCTCAACTCGCATTACTAGCCTACTAAGTGACATATCGGCTTGGATGTCACTCCACTTCCTCAAACTCAATCTTTCCAAAACTGAGCTTTTAGTATTCCCCCCAGCCCGTGCCCCCTCCCCTGACTTCTTCATCAAGACTACACTATCATCAGTCCCTCCCCTCATGCCAGGGTACTAGGTGTAATCCTAGACTCCAATCTGTCCTGTCAGCCCCAGGTCCAATCGCTGACAAAATCGTGTAGACTTCACCTCCGCAGAATCTCCAAGATACGACTGTTCCTAACCTCGGAAACCACTAAGCAACTTATTCACTCCCTTGTTATATCTCGCCTTGACTACTGTAACTGCCTCCTCATTGGCCTACCTCATCGCAGGCTATCCCCACTTCAATCTATCATGAACGCTGCTGCCAGACTCATCCACCTCACTAACCGCTGTATATCTGCCACCCCTCTCTGCCAATCCCTCCACTGGCTTCCAGTTGCCCAACAGATAAAATTCAAAACACTAACACTGACGTATAAAGCCGTTCATAACACTGCCCCAAATTACATCACCGACCTTGTCTCTAAATACCACCCAAACCGTACTCTCCGCTCCTCGCAAGACCTCCTACTCTCTAGCTTCCTTGTCTCCTCCTCCCATGCTCGTCTCCAGGACTTCTCCAGGGCTTCACCCATCCTCTGGAACTCCCTACCCCAATCTATCAGACTATCGCCTACTCTGCTCACTTTTAGGTGATCACTGAAAACCTATCTCTTCAGAGAAGCCTACCCCGCCCTCAGCTAATACTGGAATCCTTTACTCTTCCAACCACTCCATCCCCCACAGTTATCACCTTTTGTACCACTAACCCCTCCCTCCTAGATTGTAAGATCCAAGGAGCAGGGCCCTCAAATCCCTCTTGTGTTGATCTGTGTTGTCTCCCACTATAATGTAAAGAGCTGAGCAAACTGTCAGCGCTATATAAATCCTGTATAATAATAATAATACAGGTCAGCAATGACATTTTGGCCATTGAGCAATCCATGAGTTCTATGAGTCATGCTAATCATTAAATGTTCAGTTCCAAGGAGTTCTAAGTTATCTTCTCTAAACCAATAAGCTGTCGACCTCTAGCCTGATGAGTTCATCATGGCCTTTGAAGGATGATGTAAGTCTTCCCATAATGAAGTCAATAAAAGCACCACATGGCTCTGCTTAGTAATACAATGAATGTGGAGAGTTTTGATTATCACAAGCCTGTGTACATACAGTAGTTTATTTTCTAGGTGCAAAGGATTCTGAATGTATTTTGGATAGTGAGGCATCTAGTCTTGGGTGGCCATATTGCCTGAGCAGGCAAGACTACAACACACAGGGGTTGAGCAAGGGAAGCTGAATGAGAGGACAGGTGGGAAGACATAGGAAGGCTTTTCTCCGTTGGTCTTCGGGATGTCTGTGTAAATATCACACTTTACCTGAATGACTAGGGCATAGGTTAGTAAGCCATCCCAACCTCAAACACAATTGCCAATAAGTTATATTTAGAAAAAAAAAAAAAGCTCTCAGACATTAGAAATTACAAAACATTTTTTGATTGGACCCGACTTGTTTTCTTGGATCTGTAGCCTGTGTTTAGGTTTTCTGGTGCTGTTAGCTTCACAGAGGTAGATGCAATGGTTTTTGTAATTTATGTAATGGTATCCCATAAAGTGTCATTACTGATTACATATTGTGTGTACACTTTTCTTCTTTCAGTTTGACGCAAGTTATAAGAAAATTTGCAAAACAGCTGGATGAATGGTTGAAAGTGGCTCTGCACGACCTTCCGGAAAATTTACGAAATATCAAATTTGAGTGTAGGTATTGATTCAGTTTGGGATTTCTTGTTATGGGTGTCTGAAAATATATTTCAAGGCCTCGTTCATATCAGTGTACCTAAGCTTCCACCCATGCAAAGGGCTGTACGCACAGGATGCACAAGTGTTCCATGCATTTGCCTGCAGGCAGACTCATTCATGTCTATTGGGATGCAGCAGCAGCACAGACACAGCTGCTACTCATATTTGACATCCGTGTGTGCGGGTGCATGTCCCCAAACTCACGCTGTCTGCATTCGGGAACTCACACTCCATGTGTCCCTATTGACATGAATGGTACGCTTACGTGTCCACAAAGGAATGCTTATTTATCAAAACAAATTGGAAATCCTCTTCCTAAATTCCAGTTGAAATTAAACTTAAGTCTAGGTCGGGGTCTCCAAACTTTTGAAACAAAGGACCAGTTTATTGTCCTTCAAAATTTAGGAGGGCTGGACTATGACCAGCAGGAATAGAAATTTTCCTGGCATCAGTGGCAGTAAATAGTGGCCCATCTGTGGTATTAATAAGCGGGTTAGTGCCCCGTCGTTGGTGTCAATAGGAGGAATATTTCCCCACTGTTGGTGTGTCAGGAATTATTCCCCATTGTTGGTGTCAGTGGGCAGAATAGTGTCTCTTGTCCCTGGGATGAATAGTGCCCCAATGGGGATAAATGCAAGAGAAGGGGCATAAAGGTAGCAACTAGTCTAGGTAAAGATATAAAAAAAAAAGCAAATGTTATAAAAAAAAGATAGATTCTCTGGACATGTTTCAGTTTTAGATGCATCAAAATAGAAGGTGTGCAACATTTTAGGGTTTGTTTGCTATAGAAAACAACTGAAGCATGAGAAGAAAACCTTTCTCCTGCCAGCATGCTGCACATGAGGACCCATGCTCTATGTAATGAAGCAGTGGACTCTCTGCACAGGCCCAACGCACCCAGTCAATGCATGAGCTATCAACAACGAGTGTGAACTTTGCTGATTACAGACATAAAACACCCAGAGTACTTATGGTAGCTGTAGATTACGTGACCAAAGCTACATACACTTTAGATCATGTGATGGAACTCAGCTACATATGTTTTACAACATATTAATACCATGAAAGTGGTCCTTTACTTAATCTGTAATGTGATTTGGTAATGCAAACATATGCCTGACTGATATGTGTGAAGCATTAAATTAGTTTAATGACAGGTCCACTTTAAACTTACTCAATTGACAAGAGCCGCTTGCTTATTGGCTCTGAGTTTCATCTTGGCATCTTGTACATCTAGACCCCTTTGGATTCCAGGTTCATTATCTTATTGATTAATCTGATCCTGTGAAACTGCAAGCCATGCTTGGTATGCTGTCCTACTAACCGTTAGCCAACAGCTAGTTAGCAAAACTGACGAAAGGAGCGTTGTATTTCATTCCAAAATTGAATTTACTTCTGTGAATAGTTCTGTAACAGCACAATACAATTACATAAACTGAAGTTACAATATGCTTTTTATATATGTCTCTCACAAATGCATACAATGAACACATTTCTTGCAAACAGCTACCTACAAATCACATTAAATACATTTAAATGCGATCTAGATATATACGTGACTTTAACAAACACAACGAGTGAACTTACAGGGATATGTACAGTATATCAAAGGGAGAATAGAGACTTTCACTGGTGTTCTTCATGAAGCTAAAATGGCTGCAGTGTTAGATGGGAAATCTTTATTCTTAACCAGCATGAGACACTTATTGTTCTTTATTGATAAAAATACATAAAGGGTGCAATTACAGTGAATGCCCAATAGATGGCTCCTTACTCAACACAATGAAGTGAATATAGAACACTTAGAGTCATGTGATAAGAGGCTGCATTCCGTTTTGAGGCACTGCAAAAATCATTTTGAATCTCTCTTATATGATGATATAGAAGTAGGATATAAGTACACCAAACAGACTTCTAACTTTAGCACAATTTTGGTGTTTCTGTGACTTGCTGAAGTTGCTCTCTAATTAAACTATTTTTGAATAGCTTTTCTTAATGTAGAAAGGTGTAGTGTACTTAATTATGTCTTTTTCTAGCCTGCGATAATCCATGTTTTTCTATGCTAAAAAGGCTTTTATTTTATGCACAAGTACAAAAGCAGCAGATTATTATTAAAATGCAGCAAGGGACGTTATCAAATGACTCTGGCCCAGCAGGCTAGCTACTCTCTATCATACTCCAACCGCTAGCACACCGCAGAGAGCCAAGACCATCACCTGCAAACTAATCCTTTCTCATTTCAAAGCATTCACGCACTCTCCATTGAGAAAAGCTGTTCACCGTCATCCTGTAATTAAGAAAAAGGATTAGCCGGGGATCAAGAGCGTGAGCTTGGACGGTGTCACTTCTGGGTTAATGTGCATTATACATGTGTATTATTTAACATGATTTAATGGTGCAGAATGTTAATGGTGGAAAGACAAAAGAAAAAGAATTAAAGCAAATGCAAAATGATTTCTTTAAGCATTTTAAATATTATTAATATTATTAATATAGGATACAGAAAATAAAAATATTGCTTTTTAGACTAGGAGATTTTGTTGTCATTATCCATTTTTATCTTGTTTGCTTGGACTAGGGAGGAAGCTAATGTATAGTACAGTGACAGAAAACCAAAAAACTCGACGTCAATACCCATCTATTTCACTCCATTATGCTGAAAAAGGCACAGATTGCACAGCACAAAGTGGATGTACCTCATGAATCATGGGGGGCAGAGTTGTCTACCCTGGTTTAGATTTGCACAGCTGTTATATACTAAGGAACTAGAGTTGTCAGTTTGAATGCCCATCACAGCACTACCTGCACAGAAGTTGTATGTTCTCCCTGTGTGGGTTTCCTCTGGGTACTCCGGTTTCCTCTCACACTCCAAAGACATGCTGGTAGGTTAATTGGCTTCTGTCTAAATTGGCCCTAGTATGTGTATGTATGAATGTGAGTTAGGGACCTTAGATTGTAAGCTTCTTGAGAGCGGGGCTGATGTGAATGTGCAATATACATATGTAAAGCGAAGGCGTAAATCGACGGTGCTATATGTGTACCTGAAATAAATAAATAATAAGGAACAGTGGCTATATTTTTGTAGACAGAAGATTGCTGATGACCAATTGCTGTTTAAAGCGGAGCTCTATCCAAAAGGGGAAGTTCCACTTTAAGCTTTTGTCCCCCGCTCCCCATTAAGGATTGGCACCTTTGGGGAGCGGGTACCCGAATTTGACAGGTACCCACTCCCATTTCCGCTGCGATCGCCCTAGGTGATCGGAAGCGAAAGTTGTCCTCTCTCCCCGTAGTCTTCTGGGACACGTGACAGGTCCCAGAAGACTAAGGGGCTATTCACAAAGCGTAGTGCTACTCGCGTATGTGCAGTGGGCACCCGGCTGTGAAGCCGCAAGCTGTCACAGCCAGGTGCTCACACTGAAGGTGCCGGCACCTGGGAGAGTAGATGGCCATTGAAACCATCCATGGTGAGGACACCGCTGGACAAAGGGGCAGGTAAGTGTCTGTATTTTAAAAGTCAGCAGCTACAATTTTTGTAGCTGCTGACTTTTATTTTTTTTTTTCAGGTGGAACTCCGCTTTAAGTTGTTAGTCCTTGTGGAGAGTTCAGTACTGGGTCTAATGGAGATTCTTGAAGTCACTGTGGTTACTCCAAGTTTTTTCTTTTGTGGAGCCCTGATGAAGAGGAAGCGGCATTGCCCTGAAACGTGTTGGATGTTTTTATATGACTTTTTACCAACAATTAAAGGTATCTTGTACTCTTTCAATTGGTTTTGGTCAGGCACTCCTTTCTGTTTTTCTATGGTTTGAACTAATGTTGGGTGACTATTTGTATGTCCACTACATGACCCCTGTGGAGTTATGGCAGCTGGAAAACCAATAAAGTACTGATCGTGGGAATTACATTTTTTGGAAACCGAGAGTTTGCACCTATGCACATCATGTGGTGATATAAAAATGCAATGTTCTGTGATCCTCTGACACATTATTTTGTTTTGTCAACTGGAGTTTTGGTTATGCAGTACTGCTGAAAATGGATGTCATAATTTACTCTATGATTGGGAAAATGCAAGGCAAGGGGAACGAAAAACGTGAGCCCGTATTTCATGTGTTGTAGCACCTCTATCTTATAAGCTTAGATAATACCTGAGTGTACTGATAAAATGGTGTAATGCAACATTTACCCCTGGTTCATACCAATGCGTTTTTTTTGTGCTTTTTGCAGAAATCCATTTAACATGGTTTCCTATGTGACATGTTCACATCTATGCTTTTTTGAGCTGCTGCGTTTTTGGAAAGGGTCAGGGATTTTGTAAACACAAAAAGCATCATTTTTGCTACAATAGAGTTTAATGGAGAAGCTGCTGAAACGCATGTAGTGCGTTTGCGTTTTGCATTTTTTTTTTTGTCTGCCCAGCAACAAAAAATTTCCATTTTAACAAAAAAAAACTGAAAAAAATGCAAAATGTGGCAAAAACGCAAAGCACAATGCAAAAACCACCATAAAAAGGATCAAAAGCAAAAAGCATAGGTGTGAACCAAGCCTTATGCAGGCCATAGACGGATCGTTTATCGGCCGAATTTTCATCCGAACGAAAAATCGGCCGATATTCATACCGTTAGTAGGGCAATGCCTTCTCGGCCGTTTTTTTTGCGGATCTTCTCGTTTCTTTTTATCGGTCATGCTGGAAAATCCACGAAAAACGGCCGTTTTTCGTAAGCATTGGTGGCAGCAATTCGATGGCAATTCGGCCAATAAACGGCCCGTCTATGGCCAGCCTTAGTTTTATCATAAAAAGCCTACAATGTTGTTTTAATTCTTTTATTTTTTTTTTCATTTTTATCATCTTCATAGTGTCCAAAAGGTTCTCACAAATCCTTCGACGACAGACATCTTTAAACCACCTGTGTCAGGTGAATATGCTGCATAAACATTTTTCTGTGTCTCTTTCTCACTCTGAATATGTTGGTGTGCCAATGCACTAGGATAACACACTTGTGCTGCAGTACGCTGTTACACATGGTAAAGCATTACAGGATAAGTTCACCTTCTAACAAAAAATAATAAATGCACATTTTTTTGCAGGTAAGAAAATGTGCATTTATTATTTTTTGTTTCTGGAACCTCTGAAGCATTGTACCAGCAATCAGCAGATCGCTAGTACCATGCGGGTCTCCCTCTGACCTATCACTGTATCTGTTCGCTCGTACATCCCGTATGGGCAAGCAGATACTGACAAGGAAGGCTCAATTAACTTTATTGAGAACTACAAGCCGACAGCCGCAAAGACTTCTGGAACTTGTAGTTTTCTCATTCACAGAATACTGTGAATGAGTGACGCGGCGAGCAGAGCGTTTTTTTTTTTAATTGTGACAGCTAGCACAGAGAAGCAGATCCCCTGCTAGCTGTCACAACTGGGTTTGGGGGTCTATTTGTTTGTAACATGTTACCCCCCGAATATGGGTGTAACATGTAACATTACGAAAGGTGAACTTATCCTTTAAGCTGGCCATACATTATACATTTTTCCTATTCAATTTCCTTTAGATTTACTTTTAGCTGTGTAGTACAAGGCCCTGCCTGATTCCATACAAATTGAAAGTGTTTAGGTTTGAACATATATAACCATATTTTATGGTTTTGGTAAATCTAAAGAAAAATTGTATAATGAAAGTTGTATAATGTATGGCCTGTCATAATGTGAATTGGTAGAGTAAAGCAATGTGTCTATGTTGCAGCATAAGGCAACATACCGTAAAACACACTGATGCGCACTGCTGTGCATTCCTGAAAAAAATAGTCAGGTCTGGTTTAGCTGCACTCGAGTGCATCGGTGGCCCATTCAAAATGGCCACGTAGCGTGTTTTAAGATCTGTGCCTTAACACACCTGACAAATGTGAACCCTGTCTTAGTGATTAATTATTGGTGATTATAGTTCTGCACCTCGCATAAAAACACTCAGCGGCTACTTTATTAGGTACGCCTTGCTTGGACCCCCTTTTGCCTTCAGAACTGCCTTAATTCTTCATGGCATAGATTCAACAAGGTGTTGGAAACATTCCTCAGAGATTTTGGTCCAGATTGACATGAGTTACTGTTGCCTTTCTATCATCTCGAACCAGTCTGCCCATTCCCTTTGGCCTCTGACATCAACAAAGCATTTTCATCCATACAACTGCTGTTCACTGGATATTTTCTCTTTTTCGGACCATTCTGAAAACCCTAGAGATGGTTGTGTGCAAAAATCCTAGTAGGTCAGCAGTTTTTTTAATACTCAGACCAGCCTATCTGGCACCAACATCCATGCCACATTCAAAGTATCTCAAATCCACTTTCTTCCCCATTCTAATGCTCGGTTTGAACTTCAGCAAGTCGTCTTCACCACATCTAGATGCCTAAATGCATTGAGTTGCTGCCATGTGATTGGCCAAGCAATTGAACAGGTGTACCTAATAAAGTGGCAGGTGAATGTAGTCTGCTTGGTTACTATGGACATAACAGGCAATATTTGTACAAGAGGCTGATAATTTATATATATATGGCTTCTCATCATGTACAGCCATGGCCAAAAGTTTTGAGAATGACACAAATAATAATTTTCACAAAGTCTGCTGCCTCAGTTTTTAAAATGGCAATTTGGATATACTCCAGAATGTTATGAAGAGTGATCAGATGCATTGCAATTAATAGCAAAGTCCCTCTTTGCCACAAAAAATGAACTTAATCCCCAAAAAACATTTCCACTTAATTTCAGCCCTGCCATAAAAGGACCATCTGACGTCATGTCAGTGATTCTCTCATTGACACAGGTGTCAGTGTTGACTAGGAGAAGGCTGGAGATCACTCTAACTTGCTGATTGAGTTAGAATAACAGACTAGAAGCTTTAAAAGGAGGGTGGTGCTTGAAATCATTGTTCTTTCTCTGTTAACCATGGTTACCTGCAAGGAAACACATGCAGTCATCATTGCTTTGCACAAAAAGGGATTCACAGGCAAGGATATTGCTGCTACCAAGATTGCACCTAAATCAACAATTTATTGGATTATCAACAACTTCAAGAAGAGAGGCTCAATTGTTGTGAAGAAGGCTTCAGGGCAACCAAGAAAGTCCAGCAAACTCCAGGACCCTCTCCTAAAGTTGATTCAGCTGTGGGATCGGAGCACCACCAGTGCAGAGTTTGCTCAGGAATGGCAGCAGGCAGGTGTGAGTACATCTGCATGCATAGTGAGGTGAAGACTTTTGGAAGATGGGCCTGGTGTCAACAAGGGCAGCAAAGATGCTACTTCTCTCCAGGAAAAACATCAGGGACAGACTGATATTCTGCAAAAGGTACAGGGATTGGACTGCTGAGGACAGGGGTAAAGTCATATTCTCTGATGAATCCCCTTTCTGATTGTTTGGGGCATCCAGAAAAAACCTTGTCCATAGAAGAAAAGGTGAGAGCTACCATCAGTCCTGTGTTATGCCAACAGTAAAGCATCCTGAGACCATTCATGTGTAGGATTACTTCTCAGCCAAGGGAATGGGCTCACTCAAAATTTTGCCTTAGAACACAGTCATGAATAAAGATTGGTACAATAACATCCTCCGAGAGCAACTTCTCCCAACCATCAAAGAACATTTTGGTGATGAACAATACCTTTTCCAGCATGATGGAGCACCTTGCCATAAGGCAAAAGTGATAACTAAGTGGCTTGGGGAACAAAACATCCACATTTTTGGTCCATAGCCAGGAAACTCCCCAGACCTTAATCCATTGAAAACTTGTGATCAATCCTCAAGAGGCGGGTGAACAAAAAAAAAATCCCACAAATCCTGACAAACTCCAAGCATTGATTATGCAAGAATGGGCTACCATCAGTCAGGATGTGGCCCAGAAGTTGATTGACAGCATGCCAGGGCGAATTGCAGAGGTCTTCAAAAAGAAGGGTGAACACTGCAAATATTGACTATTTGCATAAACGTAATGTAATTGTCAATAAAAGTCTTTGACGCTTATGAAATGCTTCTAATTATACTGCAGGATGCCATACCATAGTAACATTTGACAAAAAGATCTAAAGACACTGAAGCAGCAGGCTTTGTGAAAATTAATATTTGTGTCAATCTCAAAACTTTTGGCCATGGCTGTATGTACTCAGAATTTTTATGTAAATGCATCAGCCTGTGTTGTTGTTTAAACAATATTTGCACTGCATGAGCCCTGAATAATGATCCCTGTCTGTTCTCACTGCTGATTTACATGTGGATTGCAGGCATCACGGACAGTGATACACAGCGCAGATATTACATTTCAGATGCTGGAAGACTGGAGGAATGTGGACCTTAATAGCATTACCAAACAGAGTCTGTATACTATAGAAGATTCCAGGGACGAGCACAGGAAGCTCATTGTCCAGTGTAAGATTTGAGGATGTTAGCATGTTGTTATCACAACTTAAAGCCTAATCATGATAGTGGCAGCTGTTTTATAAATGAAACTATTTATATAAATGTTAAGAACCTATTGTTGCCAACAGCCCAGGTGAATTTACGAGGCATTTGTGACTAAACCCTCAATGTATCCTAAGCACAACTTTTTCCATGCAGTTTTTGCAATAACTGATCCCACTTCTGCATGAAGTTCCACATACATGTCCACAGATTACAGAACTGATCTTTTATGGTCTATTGGCAAGTATAGGTACTGGTGATGCCAATGGGGTAGTGCATTGAGATAAGGACTTTGTGGAGATGTAAACGTTCCCTTATATCAGTGGTGCTGAACCTGTGGTCCCCTGAGGTCATAGCCCTCTGATGTGGCCCTCAACCTCAAACTAGGGAAGCACACTTCTAATATACCCTGTGGGTTTGGTGCGATTTCTGAAAATGCACAAAAACTCCAGAGATTTAACATCCACAAGATATAATAGAAGTCTATGGCAAAGCACAGCTAACCAGCCGGAAAGCCGCAGGTGCACTGCACTGCACTTGCAGTGTGCGTAACCTGCAGTGCATTGGTATGAAAGCAGCCCTAGGGGCTCAGGACAGTAAGGACTTGTTTACGTTTGTGATATATGGGGGGGGGAGGGGGTGGTAAAACCCCATAGTTGAGACATGTTTTTTTACCACACCTCCTCAACCACAGCATCAGGGGTCGCAATGGGGACTTCGCCCCATTCTCCAGGGGGCCTATGCAGCCTCCCTGTCACATTCTGTTTTACACTTGAAGAGGAGGGGTGGCGGGGGTGGCATATATAGTAGCAGATCCCCTCCATTTTCCTCCTGCAACCACTGAAAGACGGCTTCTCCTCTTCTTTCTCCTGCCAGCATTCAGAGGCTGAAGGAGGAAAATGTTTATTATGCTATTCAAATAAAACATTCAATATTCTGAACAATTTAATTTCACTGTGACCCATGACCGGTTACCAAATTACTTAAGTGGCCCTCGCTCTTCAAAAGGTTGAGCACCCCTGCCATATATAGTCACACTGCTCAAACTGAGGACTGCTGTCTGGGGACATTCAAATTTCAGATCACAAAACCTGTCACCTTTGCTGCTTTGCTTTTTAAAGGTGGCGGCCTAATATAGTGAGTTACTGAACTGAAAAAATATGCAGGACAAGTGGCCCAACACTTTTTTTGTCTGGGACCTGCATCTTCAAAGGCAGAAATAGCACATTCCTTCATCTGCATTTCAGCAATTTCCTCTGAAAATTGACTGTCCTGGAGATGAGACCCCTACATCCAAGTTACCATTCTCAGTGAGGCTGCTTGAACCAGAAATTTTGGCTTGCAAAACTTTGCCTCCATTCTAGTATTAAACAGCAGAAAGTTCACCAATTTAAAACAACACCTTTTATTGGCTGTTAATGATACAAGCTTACAAAATGTGTTAGATATAAAAATACCCGATGAAGCGAGCCTAACGTCTCAAAAGCTTGAATCTTTGAATATCACCCAGCTGAGGATATCACGTACATTTTTAACTTACTGCTTTCATCAATGCCTAACACAGTACAAACTCTTGCTATTCTAAATATTTTCAACCTGGCTACATGTAGAAATATTGTATGGAACATCCAATGAAAGATATCTGTTGCCCAAAGCATTCAATCAACTGGCAATTTTAAATCTGGATTCTGATTGGTGGCTTCAGGCAAATTAACATCAATCTTTCCTCCATTTTTGTAGAAAGCTGCACTTAGGTAACAACAATGTCTGTGGTTTGGTGGATATGTTATGGTTTTTAACAATTTCGTGTTTCTGCAGTATACCAGGAATTTGATCATTTATTAGAAGAGCAATCTCCAATAGAAGCTTACATTGATTGGCTGGATTCCATGGTAGACCGGTGTGTTGTGAGAGTAAGTTTCCATAAATCCTGTATAATAATAATATGTTGTTAGGGAATAAATTATGTTGCTCCTTCTACTTCTTCTTTTCCTTCTCTCTTCCTTTTATTATTATTATCACTATCGTCCAATTTTATGTGCATTAGACATTGAGTACACATGTCTTATTCAAAAGCTAAACACAACCACAGGAAATCATCCATCTGCAGTGCATATAACAGCTTAGGCAGGGGATGACTGGAAACCTTTGGCCAAGGGAGTAAACACAGACAACAAGTCCTTTCATGGTAGGGAGATATTTCTGTGGGCTAAATGAAATGTACCATGCAAAGCATGCAATAGTGCTGCATCGATTGGAATGGATTATTGTGACACACCTTTTCACATCTTCCAGCATCAGTTGACATTTTGGGTTACGGTCACATGATATCTCAGAGTTTTTTTGAAGAAGAATGTTCCTTTCTCTTAAGATGCAGGAGGGCTGCTGAGTCATGACTTGTAGAATTTATCTTCCTGTGCTGTGTCATTCACTTGTTTAGAGGTTTTTTTGTCTCCCCCAATGTATAGGTCTTGCATTCCTCACTACACTGTATTGCATATACCAAGTTAAGTTGATTGTATTTGTGTGTGGGACCTTCTGGATGCTTAAGCTTCTCAGTATATTGCTGGCATGAAAGACACAGGGATGCAATGTTTGGTAAAGATTCTTCCTAGATTTTTCTGACACTCCAGCTACATATGGGATGACTATATTACTCAGTATGTTCTGCTTCACCCCTAGTTTATTTTTGTAGACCTTGTGGATGTTTTAATGACAGTCCATGTTGGGCAGCTACAAACTTTCAAAGTACTACTGATAGACTCTGGATTTGTAGTTAGCAGCTTGATGTTTCCGAGTTCTAATAACCCCCATTTTGTGTACACCAGTGGATTGAGGGAGTTAAAATGCAGATACTGGTCTGTCAGTGAAGGTTTCCTGTAGACCTTAAAGTCACCCCCTTCCTTGACAGAGATAATTTGTTATAGTGTGCCTCTTTCCATGTAAATCTGTTTTTTCATCCTCTGAGTTTATGAGCTTAAGTGTCTGTATGATCTTCTAATCTTGACCCATGTATCATCACATACCTGAACCAATGACTTTGTTTTCTGCCTCTCAAAAAATGTAAGGTTCTCTTCTCCACCTCCTCTGTGTAAAGGTTAGCTACAACAGATACAGGTATTCCCATAATTTACACCTTTAGCCATGTAAATTGAGTAATTAGCACCTATGAAGACTTCTTGACACTTCTTGACACCAAGTATAGGATTACATAACTAGAACAAAGTGGATTCACAGATTTCACACCTCTCTTCATGTTCTTGGACAAACAACAGTCACACATTGCATGCTGATTGTATTGAGTTGCCTGTGCTACCTGTATGGATATAAATACTGTGGTACCTTTCTGACATTCATTGAAAAAGTGGTTTAGCTACATCTTCAACATTACAGAACAAGTCTAGCTCAATGCGATTAATTGTAATTAGCTATTCCATAATCTGGTTATATGAGAATCTTTACAGATATGCTAATTTACTGTTCTTACCTTTGTAGGTAGCGTCCAAAAAAACGGGGTCACTGAAGAGAGTGGCACAGCAGTTCCTTTTAATTTGGTCTTGCTTTGGTACAAGAGTCATTCGGGATATGACATTGCACAGTGCTCCTAGTTTTGGTATGATCCCAGCTACTACAGTATGCTTCTTGGTATTTTCTTAACTTCTCTACAGGTCTTTCTATACTAATAGTGATAGTTATTTTGCATATTAATAAAAAGTAGTTTTATTAAAATGTCTTAATTGCTATAGAGAGGAAACTGTAGGATTCATTTTCAAAATTAGGCAAACTAGAAGAAAAGTGTTTGTTTTCCTGTAATAACCAATCACATTTCTGATTGGTAGCTATTTGCAAGAGATCCAACATTATTTAGACTGAGAATTACTGTTTGTGAGCAGGTTGCCTGAACTTCACAGATTGGCATGGCATGCCAACTAAAAACTATTGCAACCATCATCTTGGTCTTCAGATACATGTGGAGTATGTATCACAAAGTCTTTACACTACTTCATTTATTAGAAAGGGGATAACTGGCTATCAATATGTTAGAACAATTTCTTTCTGTCAAAAAGATTGCTTTTGACAATCAGAAATACTTGATACTTGTTACCACCCTTCTTGACCGTACTGCAGCAAGAAATGCCTAAATTGGTGGCAGGGCCAGTGCTAGACTATTTTGCGCCCTAGGCAAAACCAGCTACTTGTGCCCCCCCCCCCCCAAAAAAAAAAAAAAATGGAAACATTTTTTTAAAACAGTAGAAAATATTAATTCAACAAAACATGAAACTGCTAAATTTCTTTTAATTTGCAAAAATAAGTGCCATAAGATGCCACCAGCACCAATATTAAAGACAGAATCAGCGTCACAGATGGACTGTATCTATGGCTGGCAGTGGCAAGGTGACAGTTGCAGTGAGTGGAGGATGATGGATCCTCAGGCAATGGGGGGAGATAAAATGCTGTGACAGCATGCAGCTGAACTGAGCAATACTACACAGTGACAGATCTGACACAGCACACCACCACCAACACTAACACAGATCAGCAGGCCCAGCAGGCGCTAGAAGAGCAAGTTGTAGGATCATGATGATGTCATCTCTCACTAACACATAGCACATGTGATGGATATCCGGCCAGCCGGGTCACACTCATACAGACATGAGACATCAGAGTCAGACATTACCTTCCTCTGCAGTGGAGTTCCACCTCCATTGATGAATGGGAAGAGAAGGGAGACTGGAACTCCACAGTAATCAACAGCTGCAATTCAGGTTGCAGTAAGAGACTGGGTCTGAGAGAAACACTGGAAGGAGTGGTAGCTCTGCTGCTACAATGGCCCCAGACAACCGGCATCTTTCTCTGTCCTTTCTTTCTCCCCTCTGCTGCCCCTCCCCTCAGCTGAAGGATAATTCATAACGTGGCAGCATCCCACACAGAGAGACTGCCCGTCTGTGCCAGGCGCCCCTGGTTGTCAGTGCAGCCTAGGCAGCCACCTAGTTTGCCTAGTGGAAACAGCGTCCTTGATTGGTGGTGATATTGCCTTGTTAAATCTTCCTAACCAGCAGCATATGCATGTGTTCCATTAGCTACCCCACTTCTTTAGGAGTGAACAGAAATACTTTGTAGTGGATATAGAGAGTGTATGACTCCATTCCTTTCTGCCCATATGAAAGATTGTCTGCTCAAGCACCTAGCTGTGTTACATGTGGATGAGGAGGGAGTCCTGGGGTTGCCATCAAAGTGAACCTCTTGCTTTGCCCAGTATGAGAAGAAACAGGTTAATTTTAAAGGATCATTCTACCCAAAATAATTCACATGCTAACACTAATTTGCACTGTATTTTGTTTTAAACTAGTAAATGGATAAATAATTACAATGTCTACAGATGAATAGCAAAACCATTCTGACAGCGTAGTGTACAAATTCCAAATAGTACATTGAAATAAGGTTGACCATAACCTTGTCTAAGTGATTACATTAATTTGGGAGGGTATTGGTGTCCACCACAGAAAGGTGGGGAAAGGGTGTCATTTACTCATCAACCTTCCCACTTACACAAATTTAAAAAAGGAGGAGGGAAAAAAAGCCGGAGGGGACCAAAACAAAAAAAAAAAAACGACTAATGGAAGAACCAAGACAACAAAATAGTTTTCAGAGATATTTTTCCCATAGGATAACAATTCACAGGAAACTCAGACGATTTCTAAATAAGGCAATATGTCCCACAATTTTGTAGAGAGAGATTCCATCTTCCAAGTATACTTGATTTGGTTGATATGGGAGGGCCAATGGCTTCAAATATTCCACTTCTCTCTCTCTATCACTGCTTTCCCAGCTTTTCCAGGGTAGTAAGAGTGTCTGTTGAGTTTTTCATTTATTTTACATTACACAGAATGCAATGGCAAGATTGAAGGAATCAGTGTATAGCAGGGGTCTCCAAATTTTCTAGGCAAAGGGCCAGTTTAATGTCCTTCAGACTTTAGGAAAGCCAGACAGTGACCTTTGAGAGTAGAAAAGATCCCACTGTCAGTGGAGCAAAAACAATGCCCCATCTTTGGTGTCAGTGGGAGGAATTGTGCCACATCATTGGTATCAGTGAGAGGAATTGTGCCCCATCAGCAGTGTCATTGGGATGAATTGTGCCCCATCATTGGTGTCAGTGGGGGGAATGATGCCCCATTGTTGGTATCAGTGGATGAAATAGTGCCGAAGGGCCTGATAAAAGCAAGAAAAAGGCCGCATCTGGCCTTTAGACCGCAGTTTGGAGACCACTGGCGTAGTGGAACAAGTGAGCTAGTTTTCAGACTGTAATCCCCAGAAATACAAAAAGCCATAAGATGATTCCACACAAAATAACAATACCGGGTAGACTTAAAGTAGTGTGATAATTGTCTGATTTGAAGAAGATATTAATTTATTTTTTCCTGTCCTATAACAGGGTCATTCCACCTCATACACCTAATGTTTGATGACTATGTCCTCTATTTATTGGAGTCTTTACACTGCCAAGAGAGAGCCAATGAACTTATGAGGGCCATGAAGGGAGAATCTCACAGTGGTAAGTATGGTTCTGGTTATTCTAAGGACATAAATACTGTACATGTGCGTGATTGCTTTTATAAAGCAGTGCTGACAATACATGAATGCATCTATCTTCCAAGTAATAAGGACAATCTTCTTTTTTCATGCAACCATGGGCAAGTCCTACAGATTCCATCCTGTTGAGGGTCTCATCTGCTTCCTTTAAGCAACCTCTCTAATGCAGATACATTATTTATTGATTTAAAGTGAATCTAAACTCAAAAATTTAACATTTTCTGTCTAATAGGGAACATTAGGAAATTGAAATAGTGCCTAGTTAGTACCCTGAAAAATCTAATTTGTGTTTTAAATTGATCCAAAAAAATGGAAGAAAACTTCCTCTGCTTAGGCACTTATTTCTTGAGCCTCCATGTTGTATATCCGTGGTGTGAGATTATCCAAAGCTCCCTGTCTCTGACTCAGATTTGAAGTAAAATTTCATGATATCACTACTGTGATGCTCACTGTTCTGCTTGCTGGAGAGGAAGCTGTACCTGAGGACCTCACCTAGTGCTAGGATCTCAATGCTTTAATTCATTGTGTGGCTTTGTACTTGCTCCACCTCTCCTGCTCCTTGGTTAATCATTACTCCACCTGTTAACAGATCACTAGTGATTAGGTGGGCAGCTTTGACACAGAAGCATAATTAGAACCTTCAGGGCCCCAGTGCAAGAAACCATGAAGGCCCCCCCCAAAGCCCTTTCCTCAGGGCCTGAGGCCCTTTCCACTGATTCAAAGGCTCTTTACCCCTTTGCTCCTGGCCTTTTATTACGGTCCCTCAGCGGGACACTTTCATATGTTCTGCAGTGGACCCCCTTAATGCTGTTTTGAGGCCCACAAATCGTGGCGGAATGCCAGGGCTTGGTTACAGGTGTGACTTTTGCAATGTTATTTGTGCTAAACACATAGAGAGAGGAGGTTGTGGGGACAGCCCTCAATCTCCATCTCTGCAGTCACAGTGGCACAGAATGAATGGACAAGAATAGCTCTGTACAGAGCTTCATGTTCATTCACAAACTGAAGTAAACACATTTTTTTACTATTATTATTATACAGAATTTATATAGCTCCAGTTTACGCAGCACCTTACAATATAAAGGCAGACAATACAATTACCACAGCAGCTGGTTAAGGGGAGGGGATCGATGAAGCCGCCAGAGCTGCGGGCAGAAAGGGGGGCCAGGAGAGTACACAGGGGCCCAGGGGCAGCAGGACCTGGATAGGAGGGGAAACGGGGGCGGCATATAGAGGAACTAATCCCCTCCATTTTCCTCCTCCAGCTGCTGAATGCCTGTGGAAGGGAGAGGAGGAGAAGCAGGCTTTCAGCAGGTGCAGGAGAAAAATGGAGAGGATTAGTTCCTCTATATTCTGCTCCCACCCGCCCCTCCTATCCAGGTGTACAGGGATAGCCACACAGGTCCCCTGAAGCATGGGGCTGGGTCACAATTGCAACCCCTTTGAGCCCCATAACTATGTCCCTGCTCTGAAATGGTGGAGTAAAATCCCGCCTCTACTAAGTTGGCCTCTTCCACAAAGAGACACAATATATATATATATTCTATTGTTTAAAGGCAAAGTAGTGACAAAATAGGGCTTTGTTTCTCCTTGGAAAATTCATGTGGTTGAAAGCAGTAGCTGTATTTTCTTTGTTTTAGGTAGCAAAACATTTTAATATGGCAAATGGTTGACTACACTGTCTATTACATTCACTCAGTGGCTTACCTATATTTAACAAACCACAGAGCCTGTGTATTTATAGTCTAAAACTGGCCATAAACTCTTAGGTTCCACCATTCATGCTATACAGCAGGAATGGACAAATCTTCCACTGCTCCAATTGTATTCTGTCAACTGGTGCCACCGACTGCGAGAATACCTAAAAACAGTTGCATCTAACTGGATACTGGGCAGAAGAGTGGAGACAGAGCCACCCACAGAGAGAATTTCAGCCCTTTCATCAGGAACAGGCAAACATTTTCAAAGTAAATAGCCAGGTGTAGGTTTTAAAAGGATGAGGCGGGTGAACCTGTATCCACCTAAAACTAATTATCCATTTTTTTGTTGGTTGCAGAAGAGTTTATTTACTCACCAGCTGGACCCATTGAGCAGATCAGTCAAACACAAACTTTGGGTCTTCCCCCACTTCCCACTGTTGGCAGGATTATCCAGTCTCTGTTGCCATTGAAAGTAGGGGTAATGCTGAAATGCATGATGACTCAGAATGTATTATATCTTTATTAGAGAAAACTATTTTACACTTTTAATCTTTTTCCCAGAAGACACAGATGAAATGATACTGTCAGAGCCTGCAATCTCTACACCCTCTCCGGTCCCATTCTCACCGGCTGCATCTTCAACTTTAGCTGAAATCCCATCCGCAACTTCCCCCGGGAACCATTCTCCAGACAGTGGAGTCGCATTAGTGACGACAGGTATGCCAACATCTAAACTATCTCTATGTGTTTATGGTATCTACTTGGCCTTTTTTGTATATTGTCTTAGCATAATTTGTAAACATAAGTACAAGTAAACCTCATAAAAAAACTACTAGCAACAATGATATATGTAAAAGGTCTCATATCTGCACAATAAAATAAAATATTTCCAAATCTTTGCTTGCAGCTGGTTTAGTCTATAGGATGCTTAAAGCGTCTGTCGCTTTAAAAAAAAATAATAAGATAACTATTGTTTAGTGTAGGCAGTTAGAGGTGCCAAAATAAACCTGCAGCAGCTCTTAATCCTCTCTAATATGACCAAATTCTGGACTATTCTGAACAGGCAAAACTCTGCAACGTCCCTGGTAGTGGTGGAGTAGGTCCACCCAAAGGCATAGCATCAGGGGTCACAATTATGACCCCCGCTCATTATTATTATTATTATTATTATTATTATACAGTATTTGTAAAGCGCCAATAGTTCTTCAGCGCTGTACATTACAAAGGGGGACAGAACATGTGACAGAACAATAACCATACAATGCAAAACATGAGGGGATCGAGGGCCCTGCTCTTTTGAGCTTACAATCTAGGAGGGAGGGGATGGTGGCACAGGAGGAGAAAGCTGTGGGGGATGGAGTGGTAGGAAGAGTGGAGGAGGTCGGCAAGTTAGCAGGGAGTGGGGTAGGCTTCCCTGAAGAGATAGGTTTTCAGGGTGCGCCTAAAGGAGAGGAGAGTAGGTGATAATCTGATGGGTTGGGGCAGGGAGTTCCAGAGGATGGGTGACACCCTGGAGAAGTCCTGGAGGCGGGCATGAGAGGAGGAGACCAGGGAACTAGAGAGAAGGAGGTCTTGTGAGGAGCGGAGTGTGTGTGCTGGGTGGTACTTGGATATTAGGTCGGTGATGTAGTTCGGGGCAGTATGGTGGACGGCTTTGTACGTCAGTGTTAGGATTTTGAATTTGATCCGTTGCGCAATCGGAAGCCAGTGGAGGGATTAGCAGAGAGGGGTGGCAGAACCGGAGCGGTTGGAAAGGTGAATGAGTCTGGCAGCCGTATTCAGGATCGACTGAAGCGGGGATAGCCAGCGGCGAGGCAGGCCAGTAAGGAGGGAGTTGCAGTAATTGAGTCGTGATATGATGAGGGAGTGGATGAGCTGTTTAGTGGTTTCTGGGGTTAGGAACGTGCGTATTTTGGCGATGTTGCGGAGGTGCTCAAGGGGGGCCCGTGCTGTCTCCCTGTCACTATGATGGTCAAAGCCAAATCCACAGCAAAGCGAAAGCTCTAAGCTTTTGGCTCCATTCAAGTCCTGAGAGTAGTGAAGGAAGGACTGCTTGAGGCCAGCCCTGCTGGACGGAAAAGTGTCATTGCTGATAACCAGGCAGGGATGGACACTTAGCTGTCACTGGGCTGAGCAAGGGAAGAGAAGGAAAGCACTGATCAGGAGCTGGTACTGATGTCATTGGGGAGGTAAAAAGATACCGGTCGGATCTGTGCAGAGAACAGACACACACCGCCCCCATCCCACAACTGCTGCTGACACTCAAACAAAAATTCTCACAAAATCCTGTGACACCTCCTGAGGGGCCCCTGAGGGACTGTGGGCATCAAAGGCTGCAGGATTTACCATGACAGTTTGAGCAGGATGAGCAGAGGGGGAGCTGGATGGGGAATCTGTCATTGTCAACATAGAGGGGGAGGTTAATGTAACATTACCAGGATGGTGGGGGGACAATAATTCCCTGGAGGGTCATGTGTCGTTACTAGGAGGGCACCTGAAGGTGGGGGTCATCTGTCATTACCTGGAGGGGGAGGGGGGTCATCTGTCATTACCTGGTGGGGGAGGGGTCATCTGTCATTATCTGGTGGGGGAAGGGGGGAACATCTGTCATTACCTGGTGGAGGGGGAAGGGTCATCTGTCATACCTGGTGGGGGACATGTGTCATTACCAGGAGTGGAAGTAATCTGTCTTTACTGGAGGAGGGGGTCATCTATGATTAGCAGAAGTGGGGGGCTCTTAAAGGAGGGGCCATCTGTCAATACCAAGAGGAGGCAGGAGGGCATGTGTCATTATAAGGAAGCGGGGTGTTACTTTTCCCTAATATCCTGCACCTCCATGTCACTGCAGCTTTACCATGAGAGAGGTAACTGGGTGCTGTTTAATAACATATAAAAGAAAGGTGTTTTAAAAAAAAAAAGTGTGATATATACAGTGGCACACTCTCTGATCAGCCCACCACCCAGCCCAGTACAGTACCCCCCTCCCTCCCCTGTTCAGCCCTGCACGTGCACACAAGGTGGGGGCAAGCAGGCCACACTGCAAGATGTTGGGTGAAAGCAGTGCGCTTGTATGTGGATCTGGAAGTCAGAGGGCCTGCTGAGTTTCCCCTTTTACATACAAACCTACCACTTTCACCCGACAGCGTTGAGTATGGCCTGCCAGCCCTCACCTTGTGTGCACATGCAGATGGCAGCAGGAGAGAGAGAAGAGAGAGACAGCCACCATACAGCTATCATATCTTGACGTGCAGTGGGAGTATCTTGGTGCACGGTGAAAGGTAGTGGGGGGCAAGGTCAACGTTTGCATCCGGGCCCACAAGCTTTAAGCTACGCCTCTGGGTCCACCCCACCACACATTCTTGTTGGCACACAAGACAACCAATTGTAGTAATGTGAAAAAAGAAATGTGGCTGCAGGAGAAAGCTGCAAGGTTCAGCACTACCAGTAAGTGTTGGAGCTTTGTCTGTCCAAAGTGCCACATATTTGGGCATAGCAGAAACTAAACGCTCTTCATACCTGCTAGCAGCTCCCTATTTTTTAGGTAACAGAGTCTCTTTGATATTGAAGTTGGCTATATTCTGTGGATTGCTAGATGGGAAGAAAGCTTTACATCAAAGATTATTGTTTCTCATTATGACCCCTTCATTTTAGTGCTAGGTTCACACTATTGAAGATCTGCAAGCTGCATTTGTGCAGGCAGGACAGCCCATTCATGTGAATGGGCTGCTGTGCCTGCGTTTCCTGGCGTGGGGATGCCATCAAGAATGAGTAGCAGCCTTGAGCGTCTATAAAGAGCAGTGTTTTGGCTGTGAGTGGTTAAAGGTGCAGGAACAGGTGTCTTTTCTGCACCTGCAATCACCCACATAAGTGTGAACCTAGCCTTAACAATTTCAGTTTTGATACATCTATCAAGTGAACGTATACTTAATTTTATAATTTAAAAAATAAAAGTCCTGCCTAAGTGCAGCAACCACAGAATACCCTATGAGTAAAGGCAGAAAACTATGGAGTAGCAAAGTAACTTGCTGACCCCCATCACAGCCAAATGAAAAAATCATATAAATCTCTTGAAGAAGCAAACTCTTTCTTTAAATGCAATAAGAAATACTGTTCACCACTGTAAACGGACTGAATATAGACATTACTCCATCTTTTGATCAACATTATTTACATATATGTCTTGCATATTGTTGGTGAGTGTGAAGGTTGGGGTATTATTACTAACCAGTGAGCATGTAAAGCTGGTCTTTTTAGGTAAAACTAAATAAAAATTTAGTTTACTGAGGTATACATCTGTAGTGTAACAGTTATGATACCGTAAAAAAGTCCCTGACGTTGCCAATAGTACTCAAGATGTCTGCTATTACATCAAAAACCTTAAAAAGCCTCCATTGTGTTCCTCTCTTATGTAGCATCACATTTATACAGGGTCTGTTTTTTCATGACATCATGGATAAGCCCTGCCACCTGCCATTACCCCAGTCAAAGTGCCTGTACTTGCCACTTAATATAGGAATGGCAGCTGGTAAGGCTTTGCCATAAAAACAGAACCCAGTAAAAAGGTGAAACTAAATCACAGAGGGGCAAAAAAGAATCTCTGCTAGCTAACAATGGCTCATGCACACAGGGCATTAAACACGCCTCTGTTAGAGGCATTTGACTTTTTTTCTGCCTCTAAATGCCCCTATATGTCAGCCTAGGTGTTTAGAGGCAGAAAAAAACATCACTTGTGCATTCAGGACTCAAGAGAGGAGCATTTTAGTGGAAACATTTTAGATAAGCACATTTAAAACTTGACCATTCATTCATTCAAATTGCCAGAATGATTTATTATTCTGGCCAATGGAATGAATGAATGCCTAAACACTTGATGTGCCTAAACACGCCTAAATGCGCCCAAACGCATTTGCAAAACAGGACTTTCGGCATGGTTTTTTAAGTTGTTTTTTTCTCTGCTGGAGAAAAGGCATCCAGGGGAGGAAAAAAACATCCTTTTCCCATGAGGTCTAACAGTAATGGAAGATATTTTGTGGTTTCTGCACCAAGACTGGACTTTTTATTTTAAAATTTAAACCTGTTATACATCTATCTTTGAATGTATTTACATTCAATTTGAATTATTTATGTTTTACCATCTTACTTCTAGCTGTATATTTAAATGCAAAAAAATAAAAAGGAAATGATAATGTGTACAGTTGGTTTAGACTTCTGCTCTCGTTTTTTCAATTTAGTTAAACCATAAGGGTTATAATTTGGAAATTGTTTTTGGAATTACTGTTTATTATGTGTATATAAACTGTGAGAGGCTGAAGAAATGGTGAATGGATAATGTTTGCTACAGTTTGCACTATACCTGATCTTTAAAGTGTACAATGTCAACTCCCATTTACCAGGAGGAGGCTGCTTTTATTGTCCTGGGACTTTCCCTTGGGCAAAGGGCTTCTGCTTTAAATTCCATGGAGGTCTTTATTGTCATGTGAACTGTTTATAGAGCAGCTTGATGTATGCTTCTCCAGTCAAAGCCTGGCCTACAGCTTATGATGGGACATTGTTGACCACATTACAAATGCGCACAGCTTGTATTTAACCCATCTATCTTGCTAAGTTCCAAAAGAGCCCCTACTTTACTGCCTCCGACTTCCACACCATTCTCACACTCTGCACTCATTTGTTTGGATTGTGATGAGATTCTGTACTCCAGTTTACCCTGCAGTGAC